GTTAAAAGAAATAGACTTATTTAGATTGTCTATTTCATCTGTGAGTTCTGGCAAATTACATCTTTCAAGGATTGATCCGTTTTACCGATGTTATCAAATTTGTGGGCTTGAAGTTATTCATAATATTCCTTTATTGCCCTTTATTTGTCCATGGGTTTGGTAGTGATGCCCCCTCTTACATTTCTGATATTAGTAATCTGTGTCCTCTTTTTTTTTTTTTTTTTAATTTATTTAGCCTGCCTAGAGGTTTACCAATTTTCTGGTCTTTGCAAAGAACCAGCTTTTGCTTTCATTGATTTTTCCCTATTAATATCTTATTTTCAATTTCATTGCTTTCTACTCTAGTTTTTTTATTTCTTTTCTTCTGCTTACTCTGGACTTAATTTGCTCTTCTTCTTCTTCTTTTTTTTTTTTTAAGATTCTATTTATTTATTTGACAGACAGAACTCACAAGTACGCATAGAGGCAGGCAGAGAGAGAGGAGGAAGCAGGCTTCCTGCCAAGCAGAGAGCCCGATGCAAGGCTCAATCCCAAGACCCTGGGATCATGACCTGAGCCAAAGGCAGAGGTTTTAACACACTGAGCCACCCAGGTGCCCCTAACTTGCTCTTCTTTTTCTAGTTTCCTAAAGTGAAGGCTTATATTGATTTTAGGTCTTTTTTCTTTTCTATTATATGCATTCAATGCTATCAATTTTCCTCTAGGCACCACTTTTTTTTCAGAATCCTACAAATCTTCATAAGTTGTGTTTTCATTTTCATTTTGTTCAAAATATTTAAAAATTTCTCTTGAGATTTCTTCTTTGGTCCATGTGTTATTTGGAAGTGAATTGTTTAATCTCCACATGTTTTGGGATTTTCCAGTTGTTGTTTTTTTCATTGTTGTTATGGACTTCTAGTTTAATCTCCCTGTGGTCTGAGAGCAGACAATGTATGATTTCTATTTTTCCAAATTTATTAAGATGTGTCTTATGGCCCAGAAGTTGGATTATCTTGGTGAATGTTCCATATGAGCTTTTTTTAGCATCTGTCAAGGCATTTATTAGTTGTCAAAAAGCATCACAATCAGTTTCATGATCAGAAAATAAAGCAAGATATTTCATAATTGTTTTCCTTATAAAACTGTTGAATTTTTTAAAATATAAAGGATCATTTGCTTTCTAAAAATATCAGCTTTGCTGCATGCTGTTCGAGAGATCTGACCCCAGAAGCTCCTCAAGTTTTACCATCCATGGAGTCCTTATTTGTAACTGAGACCCAGCTGTTATTTTCCATCTGAAGCTTCTTTAGCAGTTTATAGCAAAGTGAGAGAAGTTGGACTAAAATAGCCATCATGGATCTTGTCTTTGTAATACACTTATCAACCTTTAGAAACACTTGATTTTGCAAGGTTGTCTTAGTTACTGTCTGGAGCTGGTGGCATAAAGGAATTAGCAGGTGTATTCTGCTGTTACTGGGTGAAGTAGTCTATAAGTGTCAGCTGATTTGTGGTGGTGTGAATTTAGTGGTGTCCTGATTTTCTGCCTGTTGGATCTGTCCATTTCTGATAGGGGGATGTTGAAGTCTCCAATGATGATAGCAGATTTATCTATTTCTCATCATAGTTCTATCAGTCTTTGCCTTATGTATTTGAAGCTCTGTTGTTAGGCACATATATGTTAAAGATTGTTATGTCTTCTTGGAGAATTGACCCCTTTGTCATTATATAATACCCTTCTATTTCTGATAACTACATTCCTTTCTTTGAGGTTTGCTCTGTCTAAAATTAATATGGCAACTTCTGCTTTCTTTTAATTAATGTTAGCATGTTTTCTCTTTATCCATTTACTTTTAATCTTTATGTGTCTTTATACTTAAAGTAGGTTTTTTATAGATGATATAGTTGGGTTTTATTTTTGTTTTGCTTTGTTTTTTTGAATAATATTTCAATTTATTGTCATGGTTAGTCTGTGAATAAGACATGTATTTAGGGCAGATAGTTTTCAATCTGCCCTAACATGTGCCCACATAGCTTCACCTGGAAAATGCAGCATTTCAAGCTTCAGTCATAGTAGATTATTCCTTTTTCACTTTCACAACTTTTTTTTGCCACTGCCGGAAGTCTTCTTGTCATTTGTTTCGAATTTTGTAGTCAGTGCCTCTCTCACTGCTTTTGCACAGATCTGGGAGTTTCAAATGTAGCTGAGTCCAGTCCGTTAGCAGTACACCACCATGATGTCTCAAGAGTGAGTGCCTCTGGCCAACTTGTAAGGACATATCTATGGGGAGCATTGTGGGCAGCCCAGCTACAGGAAGATCAGGCCTGAGCAGCAGAAGGGATGAGGCTCTGGACCTGCCAATCCTGCCACTTCTTGCCCTGATCTACCTCTCCTCTGCTGTCCACCAAGAGCCAATAGGATCTTGTTTTTTGATCCATTCTGACAATTTCTGTGTTTTAATTGGTTCATTTAGACCATTGACATTCAAAATGTTTCTTGATATTGTTAGAATAATATTTACCATATCTGTTACTCTTTTCTATTTGTTGCCCTTGTTCTTTGTTTCTATTATTGCCTTCCACTCTTTTTCTGCCCTTTGTGGTTTAATTGAGGATTTCATTTTCTCTCCTTAGTACATAATCATACTTTTTTTTTTACTTTTTTTTAGTGGTTGCTCTAGATTTTGCAATATACATTTACAACCAATCCAAGCACATTTTCAAATAACACTATACTGCTTCATGGGTAGTGTGAGTACCTTATATAAGAAAATAATCTTAATTCTTCTTTCCTATCCCTTGTATCTTTGTCATTCATTTCACTTATAAATAAGCATTCAGAAGCACATATATATATAAGAAATATACATAAGCACACATAATTGAATATATTGTTATTGTTATTATTATTTTGAACAATGTGTTATCTCTTAGATTGATTAAGAGTAATAAAAATAAGCTTTTTTTTTAAAGATTTTTTTTTTAAATTTATTTGACAGAGAGATCACAAGTAGGCAGAGAGGTAGGCAGATAGAAATGGGGAAGCAGGCTCCCCGCTGAGCAGAGAACCCAACATGGGGCTCGATCCCAGGACCCTGAGATCATGACCCGAGCTGAAGGCAAAGGCTTAACCCTCTGAGCCACCCAGGCGCTCCTAAAAATAAGCTTTTATTTTATCTTCACTTAGTCCTTGTCTGATGTTCTTTCTTTCCTTATGTAGATCTGAGTTTCTGACATATATAATTTTCTTTCTCCCTAAAGAACTTCTTTGACTATCTCTAACAAGGCAGAGCTACTGGCAAAACATTCCCTCAACTTCTGTTTGTCCAAGAAAGTCTTTGTTTCTCCTTCACTTTTGAAGGATAATTTCTCAGGAATCGGAATTCTAGGTTGGTGGGGTTTTTTCTTTCTCTCAACTCTTCAAATATCTCACTCTATTCTCTTCTTGCTTCCAGTCACTTTTTTTTTTTTTTAAGGTTAAAGAAATATGCAACATCAAAGACATATATTGCAACCTCATTTACTGGTCAGTGACATTAGTGACTTTTTGCTGAATAAGATGGTAGTTGTTAAATCCTGGAATCTAATTCCTCAAATTCTGTGTGCTATTCACAACATCGAGGCTACAGTCATGACATACTTTTAAGTTTAATCTGAATCATCACCTTTTCTTTAACACTTTCTTACATCCAGAAAACCAACAAAACATTAAACCAGAGCTCTGATTCTATCATTTGCCAATAGGCTCCCACCCTGACTGATTTCAAGCTATGAACATGCTGTCGTTGAAAGTAATACAGAGCCCATATGATACCTGGTATTTTATTTCCACCATAGAGATACAATAGATGTAAATGTCCTCAAGACCATAGATAATAATAATATGTTGTGAACTAATTAGGAAGTAATTCGTTTTGAGTTTTCCCCTTAGTTATTATTCCCTCATTTACAATTAAATAAATATAGTAAATTCATATCAATCGAATTCTTAATAATGGTAATATTTATCAATCACCCACCTTGTAAGATTCCTGAAAATTTAAAAATCAGCTCTCAGTAGTTGGTACATGCTGGCTCCCACACCCCACCAGGTAGTATTTGGGGAGGATGCTTGGGTGTCAGATGAGGGAGGGAGAAAAGCAGTGAAGATAAAGGGTAAGTTCCCATATATTGCCAGGTCTTGTAACCTTAATTTCCTCAGGAAGGCCCATTGGAGAGTGCCTCTGATCTGTTAAAAAATTGTGGGTTTTTTTTTAAGTTTTTTTTTTCATTTATTCATTTGAGAGAGGGAGAGACAGAGAGAGCACAAACAGGGGGAGCAGCAGAGGGAGAAGCAGACTCCCTGTTGAGCCAGGAGCCAGATGTGGGGCTCAATTCTAGATGTGGAGATCATGACCTGAGCCAAAGACAGATGCTCAACCATCTGAGCCAACCAGGCATCCCTAAAATGGACTTTAAAAACAAGAAGCTGACCTCTCAAAATCTCTTCCTGAACACAGGTAAAAGTATCTTTCCAGTATTTTCCTTTTTACAGCTTAACTCGTGGAAAAGTATGTCTTTCTTCTGCCTGTTTTAGTCCCTTCCCCTCTACAAAAAGTTAGACACAAGCTCTGAAATAAAGGTACCCCCTCAAACACAACCCAGAGCTCACTAAATCCAACCACACTGCACCATCTGGGAAGTTGGATTTCTGCCAGCTGGTCCACCCTTGCCCTCCCCATGTCTCTGGGGCTTTGACATCAGGACCCGACTGCGTGTGGAGGGGTTCTCTGAAGTTATGGAGCAAATCAGACATGAGACATAAGAACTCTTCAAAGTTTAGTCATCCAAGTTCAGCCTTGAACTAACTGACCCAGATCTGACAAGCCTCCATTTCTTCTTTCCACTCTAAGAAGGGTTACCAGACAGAACTACCAGGGAAGGCTGGGGCTGGGAGGAGGGGGGTCAATTTCTGCTCAGGGCTGGGTTTGCTGAACTACTTTCCCGTCTTAGGCAGTCTGAGCACTTGACACGGACTTCTTGGGAACAGCAAGTGATTTGAAGCCTAAAAGGAGATGAGCAATCCCCGAGACTCAGGCAGAAAAAGTCCCAGTGATACAGGAAGCCATCTGGTTCCTGATGCATAACTAGGCGGCAGAGGCACCTCTGCCTGACACGGACCTCACTCCGTTGTGGCATCTGCAAGCAGCTGTTGGGCTCCTCACAGGGCTCCCTTCCCTCTCTTCGCCAGCTGATGGATCCCAAGAGGCTTCTCTCGTTGAACTTCCTGCTGTTTCTCTCCCTGGCTTTTGAGCTGAGCTATGGAACAGGTGAGTGTTCATCTGTTTGAGGACGCGAGTCCCACCATTACCTGCCGGGAGTCAGCCAGACCATGGTTGGAGAGAAGTCGCAGGGGCTGGGGGCTGTGGTTTGGCTGCCTCTCTCTCTCAGGGACTGGCTCTGAGTTCCTTCTGACTCTTCCAAAGAGGAAGGAATATTGTGGGTTCCTGGATGCCAAGACTCAGCCCCACCAATCCTAGTTTCTAAGGAAACCAGGAGCCCTTAGCTAAAGGCACAGGTAACATTGCAGACCAGGGTCTCAGGGTGGGACGTTCTGGTCAAGGTTTTGGTCGAGTAGTTGTTTTTGCATCCGGCAAATACCCAGGCTAAGGGGCTGAGATGGATCGATGGAGCTTGGGAGACGATGACTCCTACTTCCCTGCCCTTGAAAGGGATCCTCACACATGCGAGCAGCCCAGCCAGAACCACGGTCCAACAACAGGGAAGGGCTGTAGTGTAGAAGTGAAGTGAAAACCTCAGGCATCAGTTGAGGTCAGACAGTGGCTCCAGTGTGGTCATGCTGGTGGCGACTTTCCTGGAAGAGAACCTCCCAAGGCAGTGAGATGGGGGAGAGGCCAGGATTTCTGGAAATGCAAATTGGGAACTCTCAAGGGTCTGGGGAGCTCTGGCAGTCGGGCCAGACACACAACATAGGGTTTGGGGCTGAGCTCTGCTCTTGTCTTTCTGGTGTGTGTCCCTCCTGGAGGTGAGCTGGGGTGCTCTGTAGTAGTATCAGGGCTATGGGAAAAGATACTTGAGAAAGAAAAGCCATACAAGAAGTGGACTTTGGGCTTACTGGAAATGTTTCAGAGCCTGGAGTCTGGTTAGACTAGCGGAGGCAGCCCGGAGTGGAAGCGGTATTAGGGAAGGGGGGAAATCCTGAGGCTCTGGGTGTTTTGCACTTGGGGTTTTCAAGACCGCAAATCCATTAAGGACTTTTACAGGAAAAGTCCAGAGATACTCTATGGATGTCGGAGAGGCTGTGCATGGGATCTATCTTTTGCTAGACTCCTAGATAAAGAGGACCTTTCTCGACCCCCATTTCCCTCAGAATCAGGCAGACCTAGAGTTCTTGCTTTCTGAGGTCTAGGGAAGGGGTGATTGAGCTCAGGGTTCAGAAAGCCAGACTGAACCACTTTAAGCCACCACAGAGAAAGCCAAACCTTCCCAGATGCACTTCGTTTGTGGCTACCACTTGGGAATATTTCTTAGTGACTATCAGGAGTGATGGGATTGAACAGTGGGTTGGACTTTTTAAATCTCTGTGTTTACTTGCCGGCTAGCCAGCCTGGCCCACAGTGTTCCCATGGCACCAGGTGCTGGCAGCTGCTCCACTGGAGGCTTGGCGGTCCCTGGTCAGCAAGAAGCAGCCCAGCTCCGTGGGGTGTGTCCACCCAACCTGCAGTGTCTGTCTTCCTTGCATTCCGTTTTCTCTGAAACACGCCCAAAATTTTTAGTGTTTTTATTTTTAAATACACACCCTTTTGTGAAACCCCAATTAAACACAGATGGAAATGCTTTGCAAGTGGGATAGGTCAACCATGACAGTTACTCAACCAAGAAGTGCAATTCTTGTAAAATCAGGAGCCACTTTCCTTCCCATCTCTACTCAATTCCCTGTCAGAATTGTAGAATCAAAAGTCCACATGTCCCTTCCCCCAATAAAGCAAATTTTCCATTCCCTCAATGGATTTAAAAAAAAAAATAGACTATTTTTGGAGAAATTTTGGGTTCACAGCAAAAATGAGCAGAAGGTACCAAGACTTCCCCCACTCCCCCACATACATAGCTTCCCTATTATGAGCATTCCCCCACCAGAGCGATGCATCTCTTACAACTGATAAATTGCCCCAAGGGGATGTTGTATTCCTCCAGGTGGGTCCACCTCATTCACACACATGAAGGATAGAGTGTGGGCTCCAGACTTGGCCCATCTTTGTTCACTGGGCCATTCTATCCCGAGGTGTCGATCGAAGCTTCTCAAAAAATTTAATACTGGGATACCTTTTTCTCGAAAGATTTAATACTGGGCTATAAAGCCATCACCTTCACATCTCCAGCACCAGACTGGAAACCATAACGTCAGGGCTGATTGGTTTTACCCATGCATTGACTTTAGACAATCCCATTGAGTAACTATCTATTAAGGACCCCTGATGTGGCAGGCATTGTGCGAAGGGTTGGGGAAGCACAATGAGCATCCACAGCCTCTGCCCGGGACCTGACCCAGTATCTGGTATATCAGAGCCCTTCCACAAATGATTGCTGAATGAATAATAATAGTATGTAAAGCCTGTTTGCTGTATACCAGGCACTGTTCTAAGTGCTATGTGTATTATTCACTTAATTCTCACACCAACCCTAGAGAATATGTTATCATTGTTACCATTACAATTTTACAGAGGAAGGAATGAGAGCCACAGAGAAGTTTAGCAGTTTGTCTGTAGTTATACAGCCTGACTTCAGAGACCTCAGTAAATGAGCCTGGATAAACTTGTGTTTGGTGTGGGTGGGAGGGATGTTAAAATTTCTCTCCAGGTCCCATGGTGAAAATTAGAATATGCTATCTGTAATTGGAGCATGTAAGTTGATTTTAATTGAATTGAAATGAAGTGTAGGAATATGCAAAAGGTGAGAGAAGCTGATAAAACTATAGAAGGAAGCAGAGGGCACATGGAAGTATTTGATCTGGATAGGAACTTCTTTCATCACCTAAGTTTTCATTTAGTTTTTTTTTTTTGTTAACTAGTTTGTTTATTGCAAGAGTATCACACATATGTCTATTTAAAACTTCAGCAGTACAGAAGGGTATACAAGGGAGACAGGACAGCAGCTATCACCAGTTCCTTGTGTGTCTTCCCAAATATATACACTGGATTTTTTATAAGACTTGATGAGAGTATTCCTGATGAAGATATCAATGTAGAGGTGAGGTGTTGTGAGGGTTCAGGGGGATGGCAGTGGTCTGCTGAGCTTGAAGCCTGGGCTCCATAGTCAAGCATTTTCCATCTGCTCCCCTGGCAAGCGGGGAGAAGGGTCCCCATCATTTCCCAGCCACACTGTACTTCTTAGGGACGTTAGAACGATGAAACAGAGTACATTCTGATTTTGGAGAGAAGGGTTCTGAGATTCTGTGTTGCCATTTGCTCACTCATTCAGTTTTTCATTCTCTTGAGCAGCATGGTTTTACTGAGTTTCTACTGTGTCCCCGGTGGGTGTAAGGACTCTAAGTGGACAAACAGACACAGTCACTACTCACAGAAGCTTATTCTTGAGTAAGGGTGACAGGCAAAGAATCAGAGTTAAAAGTGCAAGGAGTGATATGAAGGGGATATAATAAGGCACTGGAGGCATAAAGCAGGGAGGCCTAGAGGAGGCTAGGGTTCAGAGGCAGAGACAGGACGGAAGGAGTTAGTCAGGGAAATAGAGGGCCGTAACCGGTAGTCAGCCTGGGGCATGCAGATGTAAGTCCTCTGACTCAGAAAGACTCAGTAGCATCAAGGAAGGCGGGGAGGAGGAGAGAATGGCTCTTGGGAGTGCAGGTAAAAGAACAAACGTCTCTTCTGGGGCCTCGCTCTGCTGTAAGAAGTGTGAGGCCTGGTAAGACCTGCCCGCGTCGGGGTGCCTGGGTGGCTCAGTGGATTAAGCCTCTGCCTTCGGGCCAGGTCATGATCTCAGGGTCCTGGGATTGAGCCCCGCATCGGGCTCTCTGCTCAGCAGGGAGCCTGCTTCCCCCTCTCTCTCTGCCTGCCTCTCTGCCTACTTGTGATCCCTTTCTGTCAAATAAATAAATAAAAATTAAAAAAAAAAAAAGACCTGCCCGCGTCCTCTCCCTGAAAGCTATGGCAAGATGGCGTGAGCCCATGTGAGCGTGTCATGACCTGGCAAAACTAAGTGGGTGGTTATCATTAGGTAGAATCCCATCTTGAGAAGGGTTGGCCACATGGGGCTCATTTCAGGAAAATATCCATGGGCCCATGTGAATCACTCTACTTTCTAAGTAGAATTACCCTTGAAGAAAACAAGTTGGTGTTAATGGCTACGAATGTTTCCTCCAGACTCTTGAGCAAACAGGGTTGACTGAATCACGGCCCCGCTGGAAAAGTCGCATCAGGCCGTAGGATGTTTCAGGAGTGGGGACTCCACTTGAAGGGTTCTCTGAACCACTTTAAAGTCCCCACGTGTTTTCCACTTGTGCTTAGCTGGTACTGGTTTCTAGTACCCCTTCCAGACCCAGCCACTCACACGCACTCAGTTGTGAGATCACCATTCTTTATGTGGGTTGCAGGGTGTGAGGGTTTCTTCCTGACCGAGTTTCGATCCCACTCCCCGTGTGTGAGTGTGCAGATACCACTCAGCCTGCCCTCTCATCTGCTCCTTCTTTTCTTTTTTCTCTTTCCCTTCCTGTTTTATTTCATTGGTTTCTTTGGTGCTGCTGGTGGTGGTGGTGGTATGGGGGCCCCTCCTGATGCCATCTTATATCCTCCCTTACCCTCACTTCCCTTCATCATTACGAGTCTCCACCAATCTCACCCTAATTTCGCCCAAGTGGACTGCCTATTGTTTTCTCCCAATTTCTGGATCCCTTTATGGGCCTGTGTTGGGATTTCAGAGCATTTTGGTATCAAGAACATCTGGACCAGTTTGTCCAGTTCTCCAACAACCCACGTGAGCCACAAGTCAATGGTGTCCTTTCTAGGCAGTTGCACTACTCAAGCAGGCGATTTTGTTTTACTTCTCTGGCTTCCTTATCAACTAAAGCAATCTATATTCTCTGAGTCATGGACTCCATTTTTGAGATTTAGCTTATGGGTAACTTCAGTTACATATTGGGCAAAGCTAAGTAAGAGAGATTTGAGTCAGGTAATGTAGCTTTCTGCACTCATATTTTGAACAGATATTTATTAAAAGCCTACCATACACCAACTATTGTTGTAGGTCCTAGACACAAAACTACGAACAGAATGAAATTCTTCCTTTTGAAGAGTTTGCATCCTAGCCAGGGACACAAAAATAAAATAGAATAATACACGATGTATCTTCAGACAGGGGTAAGTGTGCAATCAGAAGGGGTGCTTATTTTGTATAGGATGGTGAGAACAAGTTTCTCAGAGGCGATAACTTCTTGAGCAGAAATCTAAAATAAAGTGAGGGAGTGAGCTACCCAGATATATAAAGAAAAAGATATCCAGAGAACAGCAGAAGCAGAAGCTCTGATGGGGGAATGTTCTTGATGAGGTGTCTGAGCCAGTATGACCATAGCGCAGTGAGTGGAGAGAGAGGGCCGTAGAAGGGTCAGGGACGGGGTTACTCAGAGTCTTTGAAGCCATAACAAGGCCTGTGGCTATTTCTTCTATGATTGCTAGAAATCCCTGGAAGTTTCAAAGCAGGAGAGAGACAAAATCTGGCATAGGTTTGAAAGATGAGTCTGTCTACTGTACAAATGCCAGAAGATTAGTTGGAAGCCAATGGCCGTGCCAGGCTGTGACAACAGTGGCAGAAATGAAGGAGGTTGGAGGTGTTAGGATTGCAGACATATCCTGAAGGTAGAGCCAACAGGAGTTGTTGATAGACTCGATATGGCGTATGAGAGAAGGAAAGGAGTCAAGGATGATTCCAAACGTTTTGGCCTCAGAATTTGGGGGAGTTGTAATGTTGTTGGTGGGACGGGCTATGGAGCCAAGAGTTCCTTTGCTAAGTTTGCAATGCCCTTTTGACCTCCAAATATGGATCCACGTGGGCAGTTTGGGTGCGAGATCCATCTCTGCAGGCATTCCAGAAGTATGTTAACCCACGCAACTGGATGAGCACAGCTGAGAGAGAGGGGCTCTGAGTACTGAGTCCCAGGATGCGCCAGTATTTAGAGATCTTTAAGAGCAGCAGGTTCCAGTCAGGGAGACTGAGAAGGAGTAGCCAATGAAATAGGAAGGAAACCAGGAGAGTGGTATTCCAGGGGTTGAGTGAAGGCAGTGCTCCAAAGAGGGAGTGACGAACCATGTCAGGTGCTCCTGAGAAAGCAAGATGAGGATGGAGAATAGACTCGGCACTATGGCGCACACAGTGACCTTGATGAGGGTGGTTCTAGTGAGTAGTAGGGAAGAGCACCTGCTAAAGTGGGTACAGGAAAAATGAGTCAGGAAACAGAAACAGAAAATATAAACACACATTAAAGGACTTTGCTATAAGGGAAAAGAGAGAAATGAGGCAGCTGCTAGGGATGAACCTGGGGTCAGGGGAGGGGTTTGTAAGAGGAGGGAAGTTACAGGTTGGTATGTTGTGTGTTGATGGAAATAACCCACAACATTCTACACCAATAATAAAGCTGATGGTGCAAAGGGTGGGGGCTATTGCAAGAGCAAAGGCCTGAGGTGGGTGAGTGTTCCATGACGGAAGAGGCTAACCTTAATGGGGGCATAGACCATCCAGCTGGGTTGGTAGAAGTTCTCTTCTCATTTCTTCTGCATTTTCAGTTCAGTGAGAAGCAGAGTCATCAGCGGAGGCCATGGGTTTGAGGAGAGAAGAGGTGTTAAATAGTCAGCAGTAGGATCCCTTACAGTGATCTGAAAGGGTGTGGTTTTGTGTTGTTGTTGTGGTGGTGGTTGTGGTTGTTGTTGTTGGCTCAGTTCTTTTGAAAAAGAGAAATAAAATAATTTCTCACCCTTAATATTAGGAACTATCTTATGGTCTTTTTTTTTTTTTTTAAAGATTTTTTATTTATTTGTCAGAGAGAGACAGAGCACACATAAGCAGGCAGAGTGGCAGGCAGAGGCAGAGAGAGAAGCAGGTTCCCTGCGGGGCAAGGAGCCAGACGTGGGACTCGATCCCAGGACCCTGGGATCATGACCTGAGCCGAAGGCAGCGGCTTAACCAACTGAGCCACCCAGGTGTCCCTCTTATGGTCTTTTTGAGAGCAAGAGTTCCACAGTTTGAACACTGGGCTCACCACACTCCTAGCTCCACATCCCTCAGACTTTTTCTTCTTTTTCTGAAATTATGCTCTGTAGCCTTGGTCTCCTAGGCTCGCGAGCTCAGAATCTGTTCCAGTTGCTCTCTGCCCTTCATACTAGGTACCCAGCGGTGGTAAGAAGTCTGGTCAAGGAATGAGCAGACCTGGCTTCTAGTCCAGTTACTGGTTATGTGATTTCAGGGATGTCATTTAACTTCTCTACGTCTTAACTTCTCCGTGCCTTCGCTATAAATCTGAGTTGATAGAATTCTCTCCCAGATCAAAGAACCCCAGTGTCCTAGTTAGTCTGTACATCTCCTTTGTAAGCAATTTTAAGATTTCCATGGGGATTTTTCAAACATTAAGAATATAGTAGGATTGTTATGACCATTCCTATAGACTACAAGGGACCTGGCAACTCCAGGGAGAGCCTGAGAGGAAGAGCGAGCACCTTCAATCTGTCATTCCTGATGCACAGAGAGGATGAGATTCTCAAAGAGTTCTGCAATCACAGACTTTCTTCTTCCTCGCACAGGTGAGAGCTTGCTGAACTGCCCAGAGATACCTGGGCAGTTGGGAAGCAGTGTGCTGCTGTCCTTGGCATCCGGAGGCATAAGTAAGAGCATGAACAAGAGCGTCCACGTCCTTGTCACCAGAGCAGAATTACCAGGAAACAGTGTCAAGAAGAAAATAGCTTCCCTGGATCTGCCCGAAGGGGGGTCTCCACGCTATCTGGAAAATGGCTATACCTTTCATCTGGAAAACCTGAGTCTGGGGATCCTGGAAAGCAGGAAGGAAAATGAGGGCTGGTACTTCATGACCCTGGAGGAGAACTTTTCAGTTCGACACTTTTGTCTGCAGCTGAAGCTCTATGGTAATATTGGGGCTTCCGCAGTCTGCACGGGGAAGGGGGCACCTGAGATCATTCCTTACCTAAGATTTGGGCGTCTCTCAGAAGCAAGGGTATCCAAGGTTGGGCACAACTTGAAAGATCACCTAGTCCAGGGTCTTTAAACTGTGCTTTAGGAAGAGGTTTCAGAAATTCACAAGTCTTTTTCCTCCAAATCGCTCACTGATGGTAGTTGATTAGCACTAGTTAGCCCTACCCCATTTCCCAAAGACAAGGAACCCAGCTGCCTATGGACTACAGGGCCTGTTGGCCCCAAGAGTCTCAATTTGCAAATAAGACTTGGTTTGAAAAAAAGTTTTTTTCCCCCCGATTTTTAAAATGTTTGAATACCACAGATTGAACCCAATCTCTTTTCTGTTGATAAGGACACTGAAATCCAGGGAGAAGTGGTTGGCTTGTGTTTTCACAAGTCCTCGCGGGTGGTTCCCCACATGGGGACCCAGGAAGAGGAGAGCTGAATCAGCCCATGCACTGCCCGCACACCCCATGCAGCCGCATCTACCTGGTGAAAAAGCACCTTTTTCTCATTGAAACAGAGGCTCTGGTTATAAGGTTGCTTAGCTGCAGAGCTTAAACCAGAATCTAGGTCCATCTGAACCCAAGGCCAGTGCTTTTTTGAGCCTCTTTAGCTGCCAGCCCTTCTGGAATGCACCCAGATTTTGTATCTCTTAGACCCAGAGACTCTTTGAATTTCCAGAAATCCTGACAGCAGCCCATGTGGGTTGTCCTGCTTTCTCACAGAGAGACTTCCTTATCTTTGAGCTGGGACGGAGAGCCCCACCTACCCAGCATTTCTTTGAAATACTCAGGTGCCTACAGGAAAGATGACAATACCCCCCTCACTCTTCCCCTAGTTCCAGCATCCCCCTTCCTCCACGTAGTTTATGCAGAATCCCCTCAGCCCTCTGCCAGGTACAGAGAGCTCTGACTACTCCAGTAGTGGCCCTAGGGTTGACACATCATGCGGTTTCTAGAACAGTTCACTGCCTTTGTCACATCTTGTCACATAAACTCTTACCTTGGAAGATACAGTCTCTGCAACCATGACATTCTTCTCAAGTCCAAGAAAGAAGAGAGCCAGACAGCCTTAGGTTCTGATCTCAGCTTAAGTGATATTATATGAGACACTCCACCTCTCTGGGACTCCGTTTCCTCACCTGTAAAATGGGAGTACTTACAACTAAGGTTATAATTGTTGAGAAAGTTGTTAGAAGATTAAAGACTATGATAAATGTAAAATTCCAGATTCATGCCCATCGTACAGCAGTTGTTAAATAAGTACAACTTGCTTACTTGCCTTGGCTATTTCATAGATTAGAGTGAGATCTCCCCTAGTCCCCTCCGCATACCCACACAGACACACACAGACACACATACACACCTACACACACACGGACACATAGACACACACTCAGATACATACCCACCTACCCACACACTCCAGGTAAAACCCCACCACTATGTCATTCTTTCAGGTCTAGAGGTAATACTTTAGTCAATGACAATTAAACCATGCGGATTAGTTTGCAGAAAATGCCACAGGTAAAAAACAGAAGATTGGGAGCATCACCAAGAACAAGTGGATTACTTAACAATAGTGGTGGGGGGGAACTAAAAGATAAATGATTTTTCCCTATTTTGTCTTGAGGTCATACTGGGAAAGAGTATAGTAGAGAGAGAGGGATTTGGGGGAACCAGCAGATCGCCACAGCAAATAAATCGCACTGCACACCCACAGGGAGGGAAAAATAGCATTAGGCTGTATTTTCTTCTAACAAGAAGGTCAAGTTAGAATCCCAGGGGGTTCACTTTGGTGACAGCTTCCTTCCTCCCCCTCTTGACAGAGCTGGTCTCCACTCCGGAAATTAAGGTGTTGAACTTGACCCAGGGGGATGGGAACTGCAGCTTGACACTGGCCTGCGACGTGGAGAAGGGGGACTATGTGGTTTACAACTGGAGTGAGGAAGTGGCTACTGACCCACTGACCCCAGACAACAACAGTACTCACCTCCTGCATCTCAACCTTGGCCCTCAGAATGTCAACAATGTCTACGTCTGCACTGTGAGCAACCCCATCAGCAGCCGCTCACAGACCTTCACCCCGAAGTCCCAGTGCTGGTCAGAATCTTTAGGTGAGTGCCCTGGTGGGGGTGGGCGTGGCACATTGAGGATATGGGCTCGGTCCTCACCTGGACTAAATGATCTGCTCCCATAGCCATGGCCTCCACCTCGGTAAAACACTTTCCGTTTTCTCTATAGTTGATAAAAGCCTCCTCATGTGCATTCAGTGAATGTCCTCTGCTCATAACCACCAGGCTGGCATTATGCTTGGTTCACACTTGAGGACAACAATGAGAAATGATAGAGCCAGACCCAGAGTGCAGACCTCCCAGTTGTGATTCTTCCTCTCTGCTCCTGTCTTGACTCCAAGCCCCAAGGATAGCTGGGTGAGAGAGTGTAGGTGGCAGGTCCTGACTCCCCTGTCCATACTCCACTAGTGGTGGGACAGGTCTGCAACATCAATAAGTACTGTTGACCACCCATGCACAGAAATGGGGCAGGGATGTGATACATGATCTCTGCACTCCAGCAACACGTTCTAAAGATAAAACTTGAAACATTTGCTCAATAATGAAAAGCAGGATATAATGAAGGGCCACATTTTATGGAATGGACTGTGACTCTCATAGCAAGTCAGAAGGCCAGGGGAGTCAGCTCTTGGACTGAGACCTGGACTGTGAAGTTTGGGGATAAAAACAAATCATATAGTACTCTGTTATTGGCCGAGCACTCTCTATGCTATGATCTCTTTTGATCCTCACAATAGCCATACCATATACGTGTTATCATCATCTTCACTGTACAGATGAGGAACTTGGAGTTCGTAGCATTTAAGTACCTGCTCAAGTTTCTTCAAATTATAAACAGTAGAATCAGCACCTGAACTTAGACCTTCTGACTGCTCATTCTCTGGGAAGAGCATCATTATTCTGCTATCAGAAGGAACAGAAGGCTGATTAAGTAACCATCTGAGGTTGGGAGCAGGATAGACAGACCACTGACTCTTTTCAATAACAGATCCTGTGTCCATTCCTCAGGTGGGTTCAGGGACAGAAGGACCTGGGTTCTAGGTTTCAAAGCATTACTTATGTCCTGACATTCTCCTTCCTGCATCCACTACGGGGAACAGGAATCCTTCCAAGGAGACTTCAGCCCAGTGTAGACCTGGTGTCCATGGAGGAGGCTTTGTAGAGTTTTAGAAGGTGGCCTCCAGAAACCCTGACGCAATGCTGCTCTGTTTACTTACAAGGATAAGGTCACTTAACCTGTCTAAGACTTAGATTCTTTATCTAAAATAGTAACAACTGGGACGCCTGGGTGGCTCAGTTGGTTGGACGACTGCCTTCGGCTCAGGTCATGATCCCGGAGTCCCGGGATCGAGTCCCGCATCGGGCTCCCAGCTCCATGGGGAGTCTGCTTCTCCCTCTGACCTTCTCCTCGCTCATGCTCTCTCTCACTGTCTCTCTCTCAAATAAATAAATAAAATCTTTAAAAAAAAATAAAATAAAATAGTAACAACTGACAGATCTTAATGGTTTACTAAGTGCCACTTAGGTAGCATCTCATTTAATCCTCACAGCAACCAAATAGTATGAGTATTCCCACTTTATAGCTGAGGAGAGAAAGATTTCAAAAAGGCACACATAGAGCAGGTAACAGAGCTGAGCTTTCTGACCCTGGAATCCTCACAGGAGCTAGTGGAAGAGATAATGCACAAAAATCATAGGGTTTTTTCTTGGGGGCACAGTCTTCTGTGATTATAGCAACCATCTTAGAGCAAAGAAAGGTCATCCAGTGTTTTACCCTGGCCTATCTCAAAAAAAGAACCCTCTTCATGCTTCTCAGTGTGGTTTAAGAAGAATTTAATTAGTGCATTCCCAAGTCTTGATAGGTCATGAAGCTTCACCAGGGGCACTTGGCTCAGGACAGTCTAAAGAAATGTGGAGATGCTCTTACTTACCGAGGCTACATGAAGGACCAAGTACACACAGCATGACCAGATTTATTGACTATGGAGCAGGCTCCTAAGAGGCGTGAAGGAACATGAAGAGTAGAAACATGGTGCCGTGATAAACCGCAGCAGGATCTCCTGTCAGTCATTGCGAGAAAGCACCTAACAGAAGGCAGCCTTTTCACTGTCTTGGGCTCCTGTTCCGTCGTCTGCAAAATGAAGAGGGTGACCTAGGGAAGTTCTGTCCAGAGTCCATATTCTATGATTCAGTTTGCACTACATTTATAAGAAGTGCTAACCAAAGGTTACAATGAGTATTAGCCTGCTGGGGCTGCTGGGACAAAGCATCATAAATGGGGAGGCCGAAACACCCAAAACTTATGGTCTCACAGTCTGGAGGCCAGAAGTCCAAAATCAAGCTGTTGGCAGGGCTGGTTCCTTCTGAGGCTGTGAGGGAGGGGTCTGTGGAGGCCCCTCTCTGGGGCTGGCAGGTGGCTGTCTTATTCTGTGTCTTTACACTGTCTTCCCTTGAAGCATATCTCTGTTCAAATTCCCCCTTCTTATAAGAACTTGGACATATTGGATTAGGGCCCCCCTCTAACTCAAGCAGCCATAACAGAGTATGGCAGACTAGATGCTTGAATAACAGAATTTTATTTTCTCACAGTTCTGGAGGCTGGAAGTCCAAGATCAAGTGTTGGCAGGGCTGGTGGGTTTTTGGTTTTTGTTTTTTGTTTTTTTCCCTTGAGGCTTCTCTCCTTGGCTTGCAGAAGGTTGCCTTCTTGCTGTGTCTCTATGTGGTCTGTCCTCTATGCATATGCATCCTGGTGCCTCCTTGTGTGTCCAGATTTCCTCTTCTTATAGGGACACTGGTAAGATTGAATTAGGACCTACTCTAACGGCTTCATTTTAACTTAATCACATATTTTAAGATCCTATCTTCACATTCTGAGGTACTAAGGGTTAGGGCTTCAACATACAAATTTGGGAGGGATACAGTACAGCTCATAGCACCACCCTGCTGACATCATTTTAACTTGATTACCTCTTTAAACACCCTGCTTCCAAATAAGGTCACGTTCTGAGGACTTCAACGTATGAATTTTGGGAGGAACATAATTCAATCCATAACACAAATAGAGATCCCTCCTCCCTGCCTGCAAGGACGAGAGACCATAGCACATCAGAAATCACATAGCTGGTCTGTGGCATGTCATTCCCAGTACACCAGGTTGCCTAAAGACAGAAAGCAGAGTTTTATTAGTTTATTCATTTGTGTTTGAAAATGAATATTACTAACTCTTAAAATACTGTGCTTAGTTTGACAAAACTCTTACTGAGCTTCTCCTGCATCCCAACATTGTGCTAGGGGCTGAGTCCACCAAGACCAAAAAAGACATGATCCTTGCCCTGAAGGAAAATGATAGTTTCTGTAAATAACTGATCTGAAATTGTGTGGTGTGATGGGCAAAATGGAAGTAAAAAGAGGGAACAATGACGGACACTATCTGGAGGAATCAGAGAGAACAGCACAGAGGATGTGACATAAACTGGATTTTGGAGAATAGACAGAAATTACCCAAGCAGGTAAAAGAAAGACATTCCAGGCAGAGGGCAAAGCAGAGGTAGCTGGGCCTTGTCCTGTATTATCCTATAGGCAGGAAGTAATAAAGCCTTTTAGGTAGAGGAGTAACATGATCAGCTTTGCTTTCAGAGAGAAAATTCAGTGGTGCAGACAATAGGTGGGGGCAGGGCAGAGGCAGAAGAAAGAGAAACCAGTTGTGGGGAAGAGCCACCATTGCAGGGATCCATCAAGAGACGACAAGGCCTGGACCAAAGCAGTGACCATTAGTTTAGTGAAGACTTCATACAAGAGACTTTCCTGCCTTGGGATGAAGTGGTGGGATCTGAGAGTTTATGAAAGGTCTCTTCGCCATGCCATTTTTCTAATGACATTTCCCCAGGCTCTCAGTCATAGATTCATCCTGCTTCCAACTGGCACGCCATTATTCTACCGCAAGAAGCTTCTTCATGTCTCTTGCTATGAAGCATCTGTGCTGCAACGTCCAAGTCTTGGTTTCTACAGAGCGCTCCCGGGGAGTCATGAGAAGCATGCTCATGTGGGTCGGTCGCATATGACCTGCTGCCGTCCTTCACGACCATCTTCTGACATAGTTGTATCTATGCCAGAATGAATAATACGAAACCTTAGGTAATTCAGCTGAAAGGGAATGCCCCTGGAAGCTCATCTTGAAAAGAGGGCCCTTTTCAGTAGATGAGCAGAAAGTTGGCTCAGCAAGTCTGGGTTAGCTCAGAGGAAGAGACAACTGACACCTACTAGTGAGCCCCAGGGGTTCCCCCTTTCTAACAAGGCCTTTCTAATAATGGGAGCACCCATTGATACAGAGTCACCTAGATGTTCCACACACACAGAAGCAGGGCCCTCTTCATGGTACTCCCAGTCCAGGAAGCATCACAATAGTGGTAGGAAGATGGAGCCTGGTACCTCTCAGGAGCCTTGTCACAGGGCCACAGCTGCTGCGAGAGAAACTGAGATGAGTAGTCCTTAGCTGGACAGCCATGTGACTGGACAAGGTTTGCGCTGCCGCGGAAGCATGGGGGCAAACTGTGGCCACCGCTGGTAGCCTCTGCCCTACAGCATTGGGTGGGACAGGCAGGTGGAAGGGGTTTTCTGGGAACTGTGAACTCTGTGAAAGTGTGTACTTGGATGGTCCCAGATCTTAAATTAGTGCATGGTTTGTGTGAGCATCCTTCCCCCACCCCCAACTCTGCGTGGAAGCCATCATCAACAAGAAGGTGTTCTTTTTTGAAGATGGCTGACTTCTTCAGGTAGTGCCTTGCAGACCGCCTTGCTGACAAAACCACATGAAAGGCAGGAAAGAGATCGGCATTCTCAGACCGTTATGGTCGCATCTCGGATCTCCTGGGAGCAAACTTAATTTGTTTCTCAGTCTTTTCTGTTTACTTCTTTATCTCCTTAAAGAATAAGTTTTGTGGACTTGAGGAGGAAGAGAAGTTTTTGTGTTTCTGTGGCAGCAGACTCTTAGAGAGAAAACAGGCCCTCCAGTATTTTCCTTGGAGGCATGGCTACTTGTCAAGTTGTCACGGTTTAAACCACAGCCAAGAGGTCTTAGGACCAAAGGGTGGGGACTCCTCGTAAATGGCACTGGAGTTTTCAGTCAGCCTCCTTGGTGCTTCTAGGAGGCTCCAGGGGGATAAAGGCCCCAATCTCATGCATAGGAATATTCAGATTGGGTTTCTTTGTGCGTGAACAATGGGGCCTATGGGCCCCAGAAGGACATTTCTCCGATTGCTGAGCAGCGCCATTCTGAGAGTCCTCGCCGAGGAAGAAGAGGGAGAGCTGGAGTTTTCTGTCACAGGAAACGGTGGTTTGAAAATGGGAGCACAGGTGGTGCTGAGGGCACAGGCACTCCCTCTCTTCCTGGTTCCATTTCATTGTTTTGAAGCATAGGCTAAGTAGGTCATCACTCATTCCCTTCCATTCTTGCTTTGAGCCTTTCAGAAGTGACCCTGCATTCCTTCTGAGACCTTCTGATACTCAGCACTGTGATCATTCTTAACCAAAGGATAGAGGATAGAGGATAGTGTTCCCCCCAGCTTTGTTCTGCGACTTCTAATTTAATTTACCTTCCTTCATCATGTGCTTATTAAGTGCCCCCTAACCCTACATCATATCAGGTGGGGTGGGGGGTGCAGAGCAAATAAACCATAAGGAACAGGGTCTACCTTCAAGCATTTATAATCCGGGTGTGATTTCTATACCTTACTAGGTAGAAAAATATCATCATCTTAAGAAACGTCTGCTAGGGGCGCCTGGGTGGCTCAGTGGGTTAGGCCGCTGCCTTCGGCTCAGGTCATGGTCTCAGGGTCCTGGGATCGAGTCCCGCATCGGGCTCTCTGCTCAGCAGGGAGCCTGCTTCCCTTCCTCTCTCTCTGCCTGCCTCTCTGCCTACTTGTGATCTCTGTCTGTCAAATAAATAAATAAAATCTTTAAAAAAAAAAAAAAAAGAAACGTCTGCTAGAATTCTTCTTGCAAGGAACAGGGTACCTTACTTTAAATGTTAGAGGGCAGAAGGTGAGACCCTCCCCAAGGAATCCAGCCATGGGTTAGATGATTCTGTATGAGAAAGAGGACAGATGTGGCTTGTGCAGGTGTAGGAAGAGAAAAAGAGGGTCTGAGCCTGTCAGATTGTGGACACCCGCCCAGTTCACCATGGAATCTGCTCCCTGTGACCTTCCAGCTTTTCAGTAGCGGATTCATACCCACAGAATTTGTAGTGTAGGTGTTTGGCTCTTTTGTGTGGAAAGTGATGAAGGCACTGCACCTTGCAGCCAGGATAGCCCAGACTACGGCAAGCAGAGCCACGCAAGCAAAGACTTGGAGGACCACAGGAAGCTGTTACCAGAAATTGCAGGGATCATGGGCCGCCTAACCCCAGCAAGCCATAAAGTACCATTTTGTCCATATTTATCCAATTTTTTAAGGGCATACAGTTTCTGACATTCAGTTTCCATATGAACATTCGTATCCCTAGATACTAGTACCAAACAGATGAGCACCAAGTGCCAGACCACTCGGACCTGCTAGATCGGGAAACGGAGTCATAAGCAAACAGGATGGGGCTGCAGTGTCTCTGAACACCAGTGAGGGGCCTCTCTGGATGTGAGATCAGACCTATCTTCCGTCCTTCCTGTACTGTGCGCCAGTCTTAAGACAGCCACAGAAGACATAGCAGTGTGGCCTCTGGCCTCTGAGAGGCTAGTGGCTAGGTGGGGGAGTTGAGGCTGGTGGAAGGAGCCGGCATTTCTGCACTACATTTGTCCTCCAGGCATTGCTCTGGACACGTCCCATCATTCCTTCCTTGGCTCCTTTTTTTTTTTTTTTCTTTTTTAGATTTTATTTATTTATTTGAGAGAGAAAGAGAGAGAGTAAGAGAGAGCCTGAGAGGGGAGAGGGTCAGAGGGAGAAGCAGCCTCCCCATAGAGCTGGGAGCCGGTTGCTGAACTTGATCCCGGGACTCCGGGAACATGACCTCAGCCAAACACAGTCATTTAACTAACTGAGCCACCCAGGCACCCACTTCCTTTGCTCTTTAGAAAGACTCTGTGAACTAAATATTGTTGGGCTCATTTTGCAATCAAGACTGAGGCCCCAGAGGTTATGAGCAGTCTGTCTGAGTTCACAGAGCTATCAAGTGGTAGGTTCAGAATCTGAATCCACCTAGCTGGTTCCAAATGACCTTGCTGAAAATGGTCTACACAGCAATGGTAGGGTCGCAAGTCAGGTTCTAAGGCACATGACGTAAACCAAGGTGCTGCAGAGGCCCAGGGCGAGGGAAGAATGGGAGCTGGAATGGTCAGGGGAAACTGACACAGAGAGGATAGGATTGGCCTGGGGGTCAGCACTGGACAGGCCTGGTGGGCAGCTGAAGGTTGAGGAAGGGGAGGGGGCATAGCACAGAGGACAAGAACAGGCAAGAGTTGGAGGGAAGACGTGGACGGCATGGGCACCTCCCAGGGCTTTCCTTGTGGGGGTCCATCGCCATAGGCAAAAACCCAAATGTCGAGTCTACAGTTCTCATTCTGCTCAGTTCTGCCATCGGCTTCTCTGTGACTCTGGGGACACCTTTGAATCTCAGTTTCCTTGACATAACATTAGTGAGTAGGGTAAGAAAGCGCAATAGCTCCTTTAACAATTAGAAGCCTCTGTGGAGGTATCACTTAAATCTTGAACAGATTCATAATACTTTGTGTCCAAAGACTAGGAGAAACATTAGGGTTTATGAACTATGTCTCAGGACAAAGGCCAGCTTGCCTCTCAGGTTCAGCTGACGGGCAGAAGCTGGGTATTTATGTTACAGGACAAGGGTAGCAGATGGCTTTCATCCTCCTGAATCCCAGGAAAAGACAGAGGGCTGGGGCACAGTCATTTTTAGTCCATGTGAGTAGGTGAGCCTGTAGCTTTGGTCCACTCTGTGAATATCTTGAGTCTGCAAGGACTCTGTTTTTCTGTAAACCACCTATTACTTTCAGCTTCTCCCTCAGAAACCCACCCCGTGTTCCCCAACAAGCAGGCTGATTCCACAATCATCCTGACACATTAATGTTAACACCTGCTATCATACTACAGTTGACCCTTGCACACACAGGTTTGAACTAGGCAGGTCCATTTATACACAGATTTTTTTGGTCAAAGAAAGTACAGTAATGGAAATGTACTTTCTCTTCCTTGTGGCTCTTTAACACTTACTTTTCTCTAGCATACTTTATTGTAAGAATAATGTGCATAATCATGTAACATACAAAGTATGTGTTGATGAACTATTTATGTCATCAGGAAGGCTTCTGGCTAATAGTAGGTAATTAACAGTTAAGTTTTAGGGGAACCAGAAGTTACATATGGGTTTTTAACGTGTTAGGGGGCTCAGTACTCCTAACCCCTATGTCATTCAAGGGTCAACTGTAGTTAGATCCTTAATGCAATTACTTTACTTAGAATCCTGGTGCTTCAGGCTGACCCTGTGGTAACTCACCCCAAGCCCATAAGCCTTGCTGACTCTCCAAGAAGCCTGTCTTCAGCATTCAAACACATTTCTACCCCCAGGCCAAGCTCTAGTATGTGAAGGTCTCCGTGCCTGCTTCCTTTGCACAAAATCAGAGTAATGAGAGTAACTACCTTGTAGGATTATCAGGAGGATTAAAACCATTAACACACACAATGCACTAAAAATAAAATGTGGGCCACTGACGATGCTCTGGTAGTTGTCTGTTATTCACTCAGGGAGCTGAATGTCTTGTTTGCTGGGGCGTTAGTTCTCATTCACTGTTTTCCAAGGTACTGCTCCTGGCTTGGAAGGATTCGGAGAACTGGGTATAGGAGAGAAAGAAAAAAAAAAAAAGTGGCTCCATGACTTTGCGCCTGGCTGACTGCTACTCTAGGACCTGTATTAAGCACCGGAATCCGAGAGGAAAACATACATGCTTTTCTTCCGGTTCAGGTTCAGTGGATTCAATACAGTTATTTGCATGGGAGGACAATAATAGCACTATTATGTTTATTTTTAAAGAACAAAAGTCAGTTGTTCTTCCTCCCAGCATTACATGAGCGTGGTGTGGGAGTGTGGGGACAGCAGATGGAAGCGGCATGTTCTCTCTACCAAAACGGAAGCAGGACCGCCCAGAGACCTAGAACCAGGGAGACGGGCAAGAGATGTTGACCCGAGACAGACAACGATGAGTCTCATTTTGGGTATGTGGTCATCCAGGTGCAAATCAAACATTTGAGTTGAAAAATCCCTATGGAAGCTAGGACAGTCCCATAGGCAATTAGGAAAGTCAATACGGTGAGAGAAATTAGGATAAGAGAAGGGGCAGGAAATCATCAGTGGTCTGCAGCTGCTGTCTGAAGCCATCAGAATGGATGTGTCCCCTGAGACGATACAGACAGAGAACACGGGGCTTGGTCTCCCCACTTCCGTGAAGGATGTTTTTAAACTTACAGTACTGTTGAGTTTGCCCTTTGACTTTTTTTTTCAGAATCAACACAATGGGGACTTTATGCTGGGCTGTTCATAGGGGGCATCGTTGGTGTCGTCTTGATTCTCAAGGTGGTAATATTGCTGTTGAGAAGAAGAGGTACGTGTCTGACAATAAAGAGATTCGTATCAGACTCTGCGGTAAACGGGGAACCTCTCCGCACAGGCAAAGATTTGCTTGCCCCATTCCGGCTCTCTGCCGGAAACACCTTCGCAATAACACTAAATGCACATACCTGGGACCTTGCTCAGTTCGTCTAATTCGGTATGTCCTGAGCCCTAATTAGGCCTTGGGGTTGGAAAGAGGATTGAGCCCCAGGGGTTGAACGTGGGAGACACGACACAGGTCATTCACATTCACTCTCACTAGTACTGCACGGGAGGAAGGTATAGGATGCTGAAGGGGTCCAGCAAGACAACCTGACAATGTTCACCAGACATAGAATCCAGGGGACCCTTGGATCGCATTCAAGAAAAGTTATAATTATGGACCTAAAAAAAGACGTTACAATAAGATGTTTTCATCCAAGGGTTGAAACCTTTCTACAATCTCTTTTTATTCTTCTACTATCCTTTTGGGAATAGTAAGTTAGTTGTTTCTATGGGAGTTAGCAGTGGGGTAACAGAGGCACAGAGAAGCCACATGACTTGTGCAAGATCACCTAGCTTGAGATAGGAGAACCAGAGCTGTAACTATGTCTCCCAAGAACCAGACCACGTGCCACCAGCAAGGCTCACGTGTCCCTGGGAAGACCCACAGCAGAGGGAACGCTCTTTACCAAGATTTTTTTTTTTTAAGATTTTATTTATTTGTCAGAGAGAGAGAGGGAGAGAGAGCGAGTGCAGGCAGACAGAATGGCAGGCAGAGGCAGAGGGAGAAGCAGGCTCCCTGCTGAGCAAGGAGCCCGATGCGGGACTCTATCCCAGGATGCTGGGATCATGACCTGAGCCGAAGGCAGCTGCTTAACCAACTGAGCCACCCAGGCGTCCCTTTACCAAGATTTTTGCACAAATTCTGACTCATCTTGGGAAACTGTACAAGTTGTGAGATTGCTTAAGGCCAAACTAAAAAGTATGAAAGATCACCCGGGGTTGCTATTAAGGCCCAGTTCTCCCCTTGCAGTTTAAGTGTCTAGAGGATGTGTCTCCTGGCCTCCCCTCCAAGATGTCCCCTGATTCCACATCACAGGGCAATATGCTCGGCCACACTTACTTCACCGACCCACACCAGAGTCAGAAGGTCCTGCCCCCAGGCTAGGACAGGTCCCCGCGCTCGCCCTCCCAGGGTGAGGACAGGACTTGGTCCTTACACCACCAACTTGATGGCTGATCTTATTCTCAAGTAGATCAGTGTTCTCACGTGTAACCTTCTCAAAAAGCCCTTACCACAGCACTCTCGCTGGGTTTGCTTGTGTAAGAAAGTCTAGATCACAGCACAGCCACCTACTTTTATCTCATTTCCTCCAACTAAGAGTTAGATGGGGAGGTGTGGGGGAAGGGTGATTCAGACAGAAACCGTGATAAGAGCCTAAGGCAGTGGGGGCAGGGTACCCACATTTGGCTTGGATAATAAGGAAACAGTGAGATACCAGGATCAAGAAAGCAGAGATTAACGCAGCCATGCTAACCTATCGAGTGTGGGTGCGGGCATCCTAACTCACATTCTTTCCTCAACCACATTCTGCCCTTTGCATGGTTGTGCTCTGAAGGGAATGATGCCCCTCATCTCCACACAAGTCCCCGTCACCCTCCTCTGCACACATAGCCATCCTTGTCTCCAGCTGCCCTGTATTCCTTGTAAACCAGGAACATGAAAGCCTTGCCTCAAACCTGAGGGAAAACCTGTATTAACTGCTGTGCCCTCTGCAAGACTTTGCTCAAGAGGTTCCGTTGGCACCTTCTAACGCCGTCCCCTCCAAAGTGCTGCCTGGCTCCGAAGGTTTTCAGATGGTCTCCCTGGCAGTTTCATATCCGGAATACAGTCGTTAAAAACACAGGGTTTGGCATCATACAAACGCACATTCAAATGCAGACTTTGCCCTGACAAGCTGTGTGACTCGGTGAATGAGCTCTTCTCTGCTAAACGAGGATGGTATTATGGACTACATGGTGTTGTGGGGACCCATAAGTCCATACACAGAAAGTACCCAATACAGTGGCGTCCATGGTTAGACAACGGGTCATGAACAGGTGTGTGATGGACGGATGGATGGATGGACACATACACCCATGGAAAAATCTTTTAATGGAGTGAAGGAACACGTCAATGTTTAAGCCCTATGGCCAGCAGGGGGCGGCACTAGGAGCAGCTGGGAATAGTCGTTAGGGCAGATGTAAGTACATGACGTCCTGCTAACAAAGGATAACTTCGAGCTTCAGGACACAGTCCTGTGCACAGTCTACATCTTTTACGGTTGTGGTAAGAGGTCATCAAGGGCCCCAGAAACAGAGGGGTGAGAAAGCCGAGTGAGGCAATGCACGATAAGCAGGAGAGTACAAAAGGATAATGAGCCCTGTCTCAGAGAACTCAGAATCCTATTAGGAGACCAGATATGCACATTAAACAGTAGAGATTAAAATAATTGGATGGCATTCCAATTGCATGTAACACATGCAGGGAATTTACTATGTGCCGGGCACTCTTCTAAACATTTTACAAATAGTATCTCCTGTGATCTCCACAACAACCCTGGGGGGCAGATTCTTCAGTCCCATTTCACAAATGGAGAAGTTGAAGTAGAGAAATGGAGTAACTAACTTAAGGTCATGTGATACATATGGAGGTGGGGCCAGGTTGGGAATTGGCATTCATTCCTTTGGGATTGCTTGGGGAAGGTGGGTATGTGGTGGGGGGTATAGACCACACAGGTCCAAGCAGAGTTTGTGGGCAGGTCAGGCAGAGATAACCACTGTGGTTTCTTTTCCTCAGGTAAAGCAAATCAATACCAGCCAACAATGGAAGCAAAAAGCCTTACTATTTATGCCCAAGTCCAGAAATCAGGGGTAAGTTCTATATTTTCTTTGTGTGGGATGGGCCTGTCCTGTTTCCCGTGGGATTCCTGGCCAGTCCACCTTGCAAAATGCATTAAACTTCAGTGCTAGATGGGACTATTTGTTACTTGAAATAGTGGAAATCACGGGGTAATCTTCTGGTCATCTGTGTCTTCATAAGGGAAAAAAGAGGAAGCAAGAAGCACATGACACATGACTCCTCCAGCCCCGGCGTTCCAAGTGTCTGTGGTTCCCTGTTACCAACCTCTCCCCTCTCTAGGGACAGGGGTACAGGCTTGAGGGCAGAGGGAAGGTCCAGAAGGCTGCTGTCTGATGTGCTGGTCTGGAAGTGTAGGAGTTTGTAAAGCACCATGGAGACAGAGGACTTTGGCTGGGGAGATGGAAGGTGCCATACAGGTGGAGAAGAAAGAAGGCAAAGCTTGACTGAAAGTGATTGGACTAGGGGAGAGGGATGAAAAACTAGCCATGGTGAAGCTGAGGAGCAGAACTGTTAGAGGAAGAGGGAGGCTAAAGGAATACGGTTACATGGGAAGATATTCCAGTTCTTCAGACATGAAGGCGATTCTAGGTAACGGTACAGGCCAGAATATGGCCATTCAGAAGACTCTAGGACAAAGCTCTTATTTCTGCTGCCCCCTAGTGACTTGGAGGGTTTAATGCCTAGGCCATCTCCACCGCTGAGAACCAAGCTCCATTTAAATACAGGAGTCCCAAGAGCGAACTCCACCTTTGCAACTACACATTTAGGTAACCAGTTTCGACTTTAGGATAGTGCCTTCCCTATCTACTCTATCCCATGCTGTTCTTTTTACTGTAAACTATGACGTATATCCCAGCAGTGCACCAGGTCTAAATGTCAACTCAATGAATTACCCTATCGTGTTATCTACTAAAGCAGATCTTCCCACCTGTTTTTCTCCAACACTTTTCGTCTTGTCCCTTTATACTTTTGTACATATTTCAGAATCAGCTTCTCAAGTATCAGAAAAAGGAAAAATTCCTATTAAGATTGCATGGAATCTACAGATCTAGTTGAGGAGAAATTACTTTTTTCGGTACTGAGTACTCTAATACCATAGAAGTACCACCCAGATCAAGGAACAGAACGTTGACAGCAACCCCCACAAGTCCTCCTGTGCCTACCCCTTAATCTCTATTCTCTCTCTCCTCACCAGACATATCACTATCTTGACTTCTAAAAATATATTTTAGTGCATGCTCTCTCTCTTTAACTTTATAAAAATGGGATTCTACAGTATTTTTCCTCTTGGGTCTGTTTTTTTCCCCCTCAATAGTACTTTCATGAGATTCGTATATCTTTGTGCTTGGATATAATGCATTCATTTTCACTGCTTTATAGAACATCGGTGCATGAATATACTAGAGTTCACTTATGTAGTTGACTATTGATGGACATTTGGGTTATTTCCAGTTTGAGACTATTATAAAAATTCCAACTATGAACATTCACATGTGTGTCTCTTGGTAGATACGTGCACTATTTTGTTGGGTATGTACCTAGAAGTAGAATTGCTGAATCACAGTATGCATATCCTCAAATTAGCTAGATAAGGCCAAACTGCTTTTCAAAGTGAGCGCACCAATTTACTTTTAGGCCAGCTACACATTCTAATCAAAACCAGGTGTTATCAGCCTTTTAAATTTTAGTCATTCTGTGGGATGTGTCTTTTTTTTTTTTAAGATTTTATTTATTCATTTGATAGACAGAGATCACAAGTAGGCAGAGAGGCAGGCAGAGAGAGAGGAAGGGAAGCAGGCTCCCCGCTGAGCAGAGAGCCTGACGTGGGGCTTGATCCTAGGACCCTGAGATCATGACCTGAGCCGAAGGCAGAGGCTTTAACCCACTGAGCCACCCAGGCGCCCTGGGATGTGTCTTTTTATAGTTTTATTTTGCATCCCCTAATTGTTAAGGAAGTTGGACAATGCTTCTTTTATTTATTGGTCATCTTAATATCCTCTATCTTCAAATGCCTGTTCAATCTTTTGCCCATTTTCCTTTGGATTTCATGCCTTTTTTTAAAAAAGATTTTATTTATTTATTTGACAGAGAGAGAGCACAAGTAGGCAGAGAGACAGGAAGAGAGAGAGGAGGAAGCAGGCTCCCTGCTGAGCAGAGAGCTGACATGGGGCTCAATCCCAGGACCCTGGGATCATGACCTGAGCCGAAGGCAGAGCCTTTAACCCACTGAGCCACCCAGGCACCCCGAATTTCAGGCTTTTTAAAAAGTGATTAGTATGAGTTCTTTAAATATTTTTAGCTTTTTGGCAGTTACACTTTGTTTTCTTTTTTAATTAAAAAAATTTTTTTTGGCAGTTACATTTTAGCAGATACCTTCACCCATTCTGTGATTTGCCTTTGCAATTTCTCAGTGACACCCGATAAAGAAAGGTTCTTAACTGCAGTGTAGAGCAATTCAGGAATCTCTTCCTTTACAGATAATGCTTTTTGTGTCCTGTTTGAGAAATCGTTCTGTACTCCTGGGTAATGAAGATATCCTATCATTTTCTAAAAGCTGTGTTGTTTATCTTTCACATTTATATCTATTACGTACCTGAAATGACTTTTGGAGTAGGGTGTGAGATGGGTCAGGTTACATTTTTCTTCAAATGGTTGTCCTATCAACCACATATTGAAAAGATTCCCCTTGCCCCTGTCAGTGCTGCCTTCATCACAAACCAAGGGTTTGTATACGTGAGGATCTCTGTATTGTTTGGTTCTCTATCCTGCACCCTTTGCCTGTGTGTTTACGCTTGTGCTGGTGCCACGCAGTCTTTACAAATTCATTGTAGATTACAGATTCATCACAAGTTTGATGTCCGGCAAAATGTCTTCTCATTTGTTCTTGTTCTTCATCAAGAGTTCTTGGCCATTTTCAGTCATTTTCATTTCATATATATTTTAGATTCAGTTTGTCAAGTTCCACCTAAAAATCCTGCTGGAATTTTAATCAGAACTGCACTGATCACTTTGAGAAGACTATAATTACTTACAGTAATGAGCCTTTCCATTCACAGAAAAAGACATCTTTTCCTTCATGTAGGTCTTCTTAAATTCTCTAAATGACGTTTTATAGTTTTTTGCATAAGAGGACTTGTCCATCATAATTTATTACTTGGAATTTGAGCATTTGAGATTTCTGGAATACTATCATCAACGTTATCTTTTTAAAAATGTTGAGTTTCTATATGTTACTGATACATAGAAATACAATTAATTTTTGTATTTTAACCTTATATTTGCAACATTGCTAAACTCACTTATAAATTCTAGTTATTTATCTATAGATGACTTAGATTTTTCTCTGTACACAATTGTATCATCTGTAAAAAGAAATTACAGTATATTTCTTCATTTTCAAGTCACATAACTTCTCTTCCTGTTTTTGCTGGCTGAGATGCCCTACCCAGTGTCGAATGGAAGTGTTAAAAGAGGCATCCTTGGATGGTTCCAACCCAAAAGGGAAACTTTCAACATCTGACCATCATGTATGGTTTTTGCTGAAGGCTTTTATAGCTACCTTTTCTTCTGACTGAGAACATTCTCTTCTATTCCTAGTTTGCTAAGGAATAGACGTCGAATTTTATCAACACTCTCTCTGCATCTGTTGATATAATCTTCTGGATTTTTTATATTGATCTTTTTGATTTATCCGCGGAACCACAGTGATCTACAAAGACTACACCGCATTCGCATTCCTGGAACAGAAATGATGTAGTCTGGTCCTTTTTAAATATTGCTGGGTCTTATTTTATTAATACTTTGTTGAGAGGATGCTGTTGCTGACCCGTTTGGTTTCCAAATGCAACTGGCCTACAATTTTCCTCTCTTGTGACGCCCCAGTGAGGTTTTGAACCAATCTTATGCTAACCTGACAAAATGAGTAGAAGTGTAGGTTCATTTCCTCGTGCTACTATAACAAACGTCTGCAGACAAGGAGACTTAAAGCTATAAAGTCATTCTCTAACAGTCGTGGAGGCCACAAGTCCAAGATGGAGGTGTGGGCAGAACCATGCTCCCTCTGAAAGTGTTGCTTTGCCTCTCGCAGCTTCTGATGGTTCCAGGCACCCTTTGACAACCGTTGGCTGTAGCTATAGAACTTCTGCTTCCCCCTCCACATACATTTCTTCTCCCTGTTTCTCTGGGTCTTCTCCCTTCCTGTCTCTTACAAGAACCCTCATCACTGGATTTAATCCAGTGGGACCTGAGTTTGAAATCCTTGCCTTAATTACATCTGCAAAGATCCTCTTCCAAATAAGGTCACACTTATAGATTCTGGATGGATTTATCTTTTGGGGGTCACAGTTCAACCTCCTACAGGTTATATTTCCTTTGGGCAGGATTGATGTTATTTTTCCCTTAAATATTTGGTAGGATTCATGGGTGAAGCTATCTGAATCAGGGGTTCCTCTGAGGGAGGAATCTTTTAAATTATACTTTTATTATCCCATTCTCCTCCCTTTTGTTAATTAAGCAACCTTTTTTCCTGTTTTTTAGTTGCTAACCTGGAAATTATAAAATGCATCTTTGAGTCACCAAAGTCTAATATTTAGTCTCTTCCTGGACAATACGTCATCTTCCCTTTAACTTCACCCTCTGATTTATGTACATTTTTTGACCATTATTTTAATTTTATGTATGTTTTCAATGTGGGAGACATAGTTGTCATTGTTTTACACATCAATATGCATTTACACTTGCCTACGTTTTTACAGTTCTCTTTGTTCATAGTTGCAAAGCTATATGTTATGATATAAAGACTAATAATGTGGACAATGATAAAATGTTAATATTTCCCTTGTTCTTATTCATAATGGTAGTATTATAAAGACTAGGGTAACTGGGAAATTATGTAACACACATTTGCCATCCACTAGGGAACTCTCATAGGTCTTATCAGGACTGTTGCCTTGTACAACTCTGGGGGACACTACTTATGAAGAATATGTGAGAGTAACACCCCTGGGGCTTCTCGTAAGTCATGCTCCCTGGACTCATGCCCTAACTGAAGACACCAGCATAAAAAATGTACTAAGTTATTACAACTGTGTTTAAGAGAATTCCCTAAGTCCTGGTTAAAAACCTGAAAGGAGCATTAACAACGTGCTAACCATGTTGTGTTAAAGTGGAAAGACTATAAGTGGTTTCCTTTATGCTTTTTTCCTCCTTTCCAAAGCTTCTTAACTAAATATTAAAAGTGTAAGTTATTAACTTCTCCCCCGTGCCCTTAAGTCAGGTCATATCAAAGTCCTTGCAGACAGGAAGACAGGCAGGAGTGGATAAAGGTTTCTTAATTAAATTGTTTCACATTGTCTTCATCTATCTCATTATTATAAGTACTTCTCCCTTAAATTCATTTTTTTTCTCCAAAATATGGCATCTTTGAGTTGTATGGATCTTTTTTTTTTAACATTTTATTTATTTATTTGAGAGAAGAGAGAGACAGTGAGAGAGAGCATGAGCGAGGAGAAGGTCAGAGGGAGAAGCAGACTCCCCGTGGAGCTGGGAGCCCGATGCGGGACTCTATCCCGGGACTCCAGGATCATGACCTGAGCTGAAGGCAGTCGCCCAATCAACTGAGCCACCCAGGCGCCCGAGTTGTATGGATCTTGAAAATCATCTATTTGATGACTCAATTACTGCTTGAGTTATCTTCTCATTATTACTTCCAAAGTGTTGGCTAGCTTCTTTTTACTAAAATACAGTCTGTGAACAAGCAGCATGAGCATCACCTGGGACCTTATTAGAAATGCAGAAGCTCAGGGCTTACCCCAAGTCTTCTGAAAGAGAACCAGCCTTCTAACAAGACACCCAGGTAACGCATATGCACATTCAAGTGTGAGAAGCCCTGGTCTACCCCAGGCACTTCTGGTAATGGGGAATTATCTGCCTCCCAAGGCAATCCACTCCATATCTGAGCATCTCTTAGTTTTAGAAAGATCTTCACAATGTTGAAACAAAATGTTTCTTCCAAATCTCAATCTTGGCTTAAACCTAAAGGACTCTACAGAACAAATCTAATTCCTTTTCTTCAAGACAATCCAGCAAATATATAAAGAGAAAGATCATGTCCCACCTTGAATCTTCTTTCCTCCAATAAACTTTTTCAATTCTATAATTCTGAGATTCTTCATGTTAAAACCCATGTTTAGGTTCTGGTCTTGCTCTACATCCAGGAGAAGTGGGGGGCAGCACTATGCTAGACCAGAGTCCTGAAGCGTGTTGAAAGGATGGCATAAGTCTTGTTACCTCTGTCTTACGGGGATGTGGTCTCAGTTTACCCCTACATTGACTTCATCCTGGTATTATGGATTGTAAGTCATTTAAATTAACATCAACTGATTCTTTAAAAATGTGCGAGGCACTACTTTTGTGGGGAATGGGAAGAAATATGGGAATAATTAGTCTGTTTGAAAAAAACAACATGTAAATAAGTGAGAGTGTTTTAAATATCATACAGTTATGTGCCATCATGTATGCATTAGACTTAAAATATCTGGGGAATTCAGGTAGAGGAGAGGTCATTACAAGTTGGGGTAAGCAAAGAAGAACAGCCTGATGAGAAGACCAGGCACTTCTAGCTGACGGGTCTATGGGGACTCCTGGCTTTGATACTTCTTACACATGCACATAGGAAAGTACTAAGTCTTTCAGAGCCTTCGCTTGTCCACCTGTGACAATGCGATTTGATGTGCAGAGTTGGCGGAAGACAAATGTGGCACCTGTGGAAAACACTGTAAACACCCAGAAATGAATGCTTACTATGAAGTTCATCATTGGGGCAGGAGAGAGACGTCACAGGAAACCATGTCAGAGTCCGGAATAGTGGGAGCAGCAGCGTGTGCGGGGATGAACTTGGTGTGTTGTAGGTGACAGGAGCCAGACAAATGTTAGGAAGATCCTGTTCCCTTCCACTGCGCTGGTGACAGCCACACCAGTTCCGGTTCACTGCGAAGAAGATTTAAAACATCTGGGGAGTGTTCTTGGTGCAGTGTGCTGCCTCTCAAGGCTGTGAGCTCCGCGATGCCAATTAGGGAGTCCAAGCAAAACCCTGGGAATTGAATTCTGGGGAATCTGCAGGAGCATTTCCACCTGAGAAGGAGGCTGGGCCAGTTGACCGGAGGGGCTTTCTAGCTCCAAGTTTCTGGATCTTGTGCTTCTCCGTGGGAAGACTCGGATGGAAACGATTCTGCTCAGCTGATTTCCTCCTCTTTGCTTCTCTTATAGTCTGTTCAGAAGAAACCCGATCCCCTGCCAGCTCAGGACCCCTGCACCACCATTTACGTCGCTGCTGCAGAACCTGTCCCAGACCCTGTCCAGGTGAGGCATCTCTCGGTGCCTCCTCTCCGCAGGGAGGGAAGAGGTGGAGGAAGGGAGTGGTGGGACCCGGGTAGAGCCAAGATAAAACAGTCCTGATGTGCAGAAGGCAGGCCCTAGCAAATGGGTCACAGGGATCCTCCGTGGCCTTGGCTGTGGGACTTCCGGGAGCCCCTCCTGTCTGCTCACATGGGGACACAGCTCTCTCTCTGTTCACTAGTGTTTCTCTGAGAGCTGTCCAAAAAGCTGTCATCAGAATCAGCTGGCATATTTGCTAAAAATAAAGATTTCTGGAGCTTTCTCCTAGGATTCTGTTCAGTCAGAATGTCCATGGTGAGCAACCAGGCATCTACACATTAAAAAGCAACCTCCCCAATGGGTCCCAGAGCATGTTCACCTTTGCGATGTGCATCTTGATTCCAAGAGCTCCTGACTTCAGCTGCATAACAGCATCGCAGGACAGCTTTGTAAAAAGGGCTCATGCGGGGGCTCCATCCAGCCCAGCCGCATCAGAGTCTGTAGGAGTGGAGCAGTGCCTGGCATGAGTCCGAAAAGAGTGTGGTGTGCAGCCAGGCGGAGCCTTGCCATCTACCCCCTCTGCAAGATCAGCATGGGTCAGGTTTCCGACAGCAACTGTTCCTTTTCCTAAAGGGACAGACATAAATTCGGGGCTGATATCTTGGCTCCAGTGGGGTTCTGTTAAATAAAGCATTTTAGAAGATAATTGAGGAACAAAAGTCCACAGAAATGCCTACCTGGACCCCTCCGCCTCAAAGTGCTTACTGGACAGGTGCCTGGGAATGCCTGGGAGGATGCCCTGTCTGCATCTGGAGGTCTATTCTCAGAACACTGTCCTCTCCTATGGGGAAGTAAACACATGAATACAACTTTAAAAAGCTTTAAGAAATAATGCAGATTTTTAGTGACGTTTTCTTCATCAAAAAATAGCCTGTTGTATTTCACATTTCACAGCAAAACCTCCTGAATTCCTCCATTCCCATCTTTATCTGACTCTTGAATCTACTCTACCTAGAAGACATCTTTGCCTGCAGTCTTGTCTCTCCTCCCTCCCTCTCTGCTCCAATTCTTCCTTCTCTCTTTGGGTCTCACTATCCCTTTCCAAAGCTCAGCGAATTAGGATTCTCTTGTCTTCCCCAACTGTGCCCCATGCCCAGGAGCAAAACAAATGGTTTTCCTTATAAGGCAAGGTCAGGGAAGAAAGCAAAGAGAAACATCTCCCGGGTGTCCCTGACGGGGAATGATGGGGTGCACACACCTGGACGGGATCTGGAGCCCTGGGGTGCTCCTCCCAGCAGGTCACTGCACCCCCTGAAGTCTGAGACTCTTTCCCTTTACTAAGCAGCACAGTTCCCATTTGTAGCCTGTGAAGGTGGTGCCCCTACTCACAGACTTCTGTTTTGCCCCCAGGAATCAAATTCCATCACAGTCTATACCAGGGTGACACTTCCCGAGAGCTGACACCGCAGACTCAGTGAAGGGACATTCGAAGGAATCTGGAGGGACCACAATAAACACTGAACTTGGCTCCAGGTCCCAAGTTCCAAGTTCCCCGTGACACTCTGCACACCTGTACTCTTCTCAGCTCAACTCCTCGGTGATGCTTTGTCCGCAGCCACCTGTGGGATGGACAAGGGACTGAGGCTTTCCGAGCACTCAGCCTGTTCTTCAGGAAGAGAGAACTACAGGATAACTTTCCAGCTCTGTGGTGTAGCAGACGGAATGAGTAACGTGGGTCCAGGGAGCCCAGACCTCTAGGTGTCTTGCTCCTTGCTGGGACTGGACAATAAGAGCCAAAGGCAGGAAGCTGGGACTTCCAGTACCTCTGACAGCTGACTCACTAGCCGCAACATCTGGAACATTTTACATCTTGGCTGCCTGTGCTTGGTCCGGGGAGCTGACCCCGCTCCACACAGACCTGATCAAGGCTCTGTGCCTTGCTTTCTCTCTCTGGATGGGCAGTGAAGGGTGAACTCCTTATCATAGGTAGAGCACTCTGAGATTATTCTATGAAAGAAGCTAATAGAGTCAGTATTTTATTTGCGAAACCCAGAAGCTGAAGGGTCAATAAACTGACAATGTGACTGTGAAGTCTTTGAGCTCTGAATAATGGAAACAAAATCACCCAAGATTCTTAAGAAATTCTAGAATATTTAAGTTTAATATTATATAACACATATACTTACATATGTAATATTTAAGAATTTAAGAATACTTAAAGGTATTCCGAGCTGATGCCCTGAGGTTTAAAGAGACGTGACAAGCGTTTGGGGGCGCTGTTGCTGAGGAACTTGGCATCTTCAGGACTTGTCCCAGGCTGACCTTTTACTTCTCAAAGTGATCTTTTAATCCCTACTTCTCTGTTTACTCCGTTGAACAGCGCCTGCGGAACCTCCGCTAAGGTGCTCTCACCACGCTCAGAATCCGCTCACACCCATGGCCTCGCCGTCATCCGGCTCTTTACCGGGCACCTGCCCGCCCCTTCTCACACGAAATGTAACCTGCCCTAGAAAATTAACATATTGTGACCCAACAGCGTCCGATAATTGCATGCTGGATAACTTAAATTGCAGGTTGCAGACAGAAAGAGCCTCTTTTGGCAAAGTCCTCTTTTTTTCCCCATTCTCTGCTCTCAGGCAGGCCCGCTTCAATGTAAGCTCTTAGCGAAACTGGTTAAGTCGGTTCTTGGAAGACCTTGGTGAACCCTGGTTCAGAAATCACCAGCCATGTCGCAGCCGTGTGAGGGCATCAACTTTCCAGCGCAAGGACGCCGGGCCCCAGCTGCTCGGCTGTCGTCTTCCTGGATCCAGACCCCGGCTCCTCCACCCCTACCCTGCCTCCTCTGGACCTGGAAACTCAGGGTTGCTGGCAGACTTTCTGCGCCGAAGTGACCTCTCCCACGTCCCTTCATCTCCTGCTTTCTAGTTTCTAATTCGGACTCTGGGACTGAGTGGCCAGGGCGAGGTCACGCAACCATGTTCTGCCTCCAAGGGAGGCTGGGAATTGAGTATCTGACATGTTCCCCTTTCACAGTGGTTGGTGAGATCTGCCTTTTACAAGTTAGGGAATTCCACAAACACAAGCAAGTGAGACGGAATGCTGAGCAGGCGAAAAGAGTAAAAAAAAAAAGATCACTGTATGTCGTGTAAACGTAGGCTCACTGTCTGTTCTCAGAAACCAAGGAAGCTACTATCTAGGGTCTGTAAGCCTTGGGGTGATGAGCACTCAGACCCTTACCACAGCTCGGATTGTTCTAGCCCGTTAGTTCTCACGCTTGGCTTTTCCTTGTGGCCGAATTCTGCCCAATGGAAGGAAGGAAAGAAAGGAGGAGAGAGGAAGCTCTCCCCTCAAAATTCCCCAGCAGAGGCTCAAGACCTCACTGAGGAGGATGGCTGCGTCTTGTGGACTTTCAGACTGTCCTTCAAATGACGTTTGATGTCAGGTTCTGCACCACCAGGCTCCAGGGTCACGTGGGAAAGCACGCACCCCTCGGCTCACACCCTTCCCCCCAAGGCACTGATGTTGGGGCTGGAGTGTTCTTTTTCCTCAGGCCTAAAAAATGAAACTGATACTATAGAGTCCAGCTTCCCCATGTTTCTTTTCTAATGTTTTCTTTTGATTGAGCATATCTGAATTTTAGAGAACTCAAGAGGAACAGACCATTCCCAGTATTAAGGGGCCAGGCTCCAAAATGCAGCGGGGTGTAGTCCCTCCTGAGGACACTTCTCTGGTCCTACGAACCCATGTGATTGGTCAACGGGGCCTAGGCGCGTTGGAGAACCCCTGATGACAGTAAGCTACGTCTCTTCCTGAGTTTTTGTTTCTACCTCCTGGAAATGAATAAAATTTGGACAATCAGTCCAGGAATTTGCCCTTTTGTCTTGTGTTACCTAGAAGTTTCCTAAGATGGCAATATGGCAAGACATGTCCCACTGCCTGGTGTCTCTGCAGCTGTGAAACCCAGCGGGTGGCTGATTGGGTCTGATGAGCTGTGACGCTGTCCCTTTCCTAGGGTGTGGGCAAGGGTTAGCTCTGTGCCCCCAAGTCACCAAAGTTGGGAGCCTCTCTCCCCGAGAGAAGAGAGCTGTATATATGCCAATATTCCCAAGGTGATATAAATAGTAGAGTTTCCAGGGTACCTTTAAAAAAAAAAACCACACACTGATGCCCAAACCCTACCTCCAACCGGAACGGAATCTGGGTGGACATCATCAGAACCAGCCCCCTAAGAGCAGCCCAAGAGCCGGAGAGGGTTTTGTGACGCGTTCCCTGCGGCAGCCGCTAGAGGGAGATGGAGCAATACGGTCCACCCCGCGCCAGCACCAGCAGCACCGCTTCCCGGTCGGCACTCGCAGGGCTGAGTCCAGGCTCGCGGAAGCGGCGGCTGGACTCTCATCAGCTCCGCCCCGACCGGCTGAGGAGAGCGACATTCTAGCATTCCTAGATGCTCAGGAAGCAGCTAGGACGCGCGTCGAACTCTGGCTTCGGGAAGGAGGAGAGCAGGTTTACTTTACGCAAGAAGTCGGAAGTAACAATGGAAATGAAATAGAACGTTTCCAGCCAAAGATAAGACCCTGCAGCTCAGAATTTAAAAAAAAAAAAAATTGAACCAAGATAACAGATTTACTTTTACTGAAGTCACGCTTCCGACCTGAGACTAGGAGGAGGGGAGGGGGGGAAAAGAGAGGCATAATTTATGTAAATATCTATGCAAATATTTATGCAAATATTCAACTCTCTAAATGTATGCAATTGTTCTGCAAAATTTATACTACTGCTGACAGTACATTAGAGCTCCTCCTTTCCCCGTTCCTCAATAGCACTTGGTATTAGCTGATTTTCTTGGCCAATCAAGTATGTGATGTAGCAGTTATTTTTTTTTTCACTAAAATTATGTCCAATATTTAGACATAAATTTATGTCTATTTGTAGACAAAATTTTTTGAAAATATTTTATGAAACTCTTTTTCCAGTTCACCATTATAATAAAAATCAATTTGTCGTCCCATATATTATTATTTCAGAAAACCAAATAGTATTAATTAGGTAAGTACCCTTTTAAATCTCAAACATCCTTTGGTTTGGATGATAAATTATGTGATTATTCTAGAAAGAGGAGAACAAGGAATTGACCCATAGAGTTCACCATGTGATCATTCCAGCCTACTGAGAGAAGTAGATGCTGATTCACTTTGTTAGGAGGTAGGGATATCAATACTAGTTAATTCTTATTACTGGTAGAAAAATACGGACTTGTATATGTTTCTTAAAATGTAATGTGTAATCACTAATAGAATGGATTGGTTTCCAGATGTAGGCCAGTCAATTAAGGCATTATGACATATTGGCGAGAGAAGGAACAAGGCCGTAGGAAAAGTGGCTTCTGGCGGACCTGTGTGTGGGTGTAATGCTCCACCAAGAAGAAATCAGAAGGACACACTACAGTGAGCGGGCCCACGGGCCTCATCATGAAAATGTCAAGGGGCCAGGTCAATTTGAATAAAAAGAAACATGGCCATCCTTCTGGCAAATTCTAATTGTGTTTCAAGCAATTTTTGTTTCGTGAATGTAAATGCTATGCTGTTAGGTGCCTGAAAGTTTTATGAACACTACGTCCGTTAAGCTGATTGCACCTCCCTTTTATCATCATGCGCGCTCTCACTCAAACCGCACCTACAATGTGCTTAGTGCACAGAGCTCACGTGAAAAGGAAATTCAGGAATTATGTTGGAGGCTTGCTGGCATCAGGTGTATCGACTGGTTGATAGAAGCTCAAGGACTAGGACTCACTAGATGACACACTAGTGATCCACCATTTTCCAAGGACAGGGGACACCAATTACATAAAATGTCTAACAGTAATATTGAGAGTCTGACATTTGGGGATATGCAGTCAATCCGCAAACTTGCAACCAAAATTGAACACAGTGTAAATTGAGTTTCAGGTTCCCAGAGCGCTCTCTACTCAAGAAAACATGTGTAGGGAACTCCAAAATATGCTTAAATGTGTGTATGTATATTTTAAAATATATTCATATTTATATACATATTTTAAAATATGTATATATATATATTTATGTATCTATATGCTGCAAAACAACTACTGTACCCAAAATAATGAGCACATCCATCACTGCTAAAAGTTATTTTGTGCCTTTTGTGATCCTACTCGCCTGTCCCCCAACCAGGTAAATTTGATGTGCTTTCTGTCCCTATAGATTAGTTTGCATTTTCTTTCTTTTTTTTTTTTTTTAAGATTTTATTTATTTATTTGACAGAGAGAGATCACAAGTAGACAGAGAGGCAGGCAGAGAGAGAGGAGGAAGCAGGGTCCCTGCTGAGCAGAGAGCCCAATGCAGGACTCGATCCCAGGACCCTGAGATCATGACCTGAGTTGAAGGCAGCGGCTTAACCCACTGAGCCACCCAGGCGCCCCTAGTTTGCATTTTCTAAAATTTTTTTCTAGCTGGAACCCAGAGTATACTTTGTATCTGGCTTCTTTTACTTGGCATGGTTACGCTGCGATTCCCGATTCCCGCATGCCGGCATGTGTGTTAATAGACCACTCTGTTTCACTACTGAGTGGTCTTCTCTTGTATCAGTATAACACCATTCGTTTATCCATTCACCTGTTGATTGCTTTTGGGTTTTTTCTAGTTTTTGGCTATAACAGATAAAGTTGCAACGAATATTCGGGTGCAAGTCTTTGTATGGACACATCCTGTCATTTCATTTTAGTAAATGTCTAGAAGTAGAAGAGCTGAATTATGTGGTAGGTAAAGTTAAACTTGTTAAGAAATTGTCACTGGTTTCTAAAGTGTTTGTAATATTGTCTTAGTCCATTCAGGCTGCTATGACAAAAGACTGTACGCCAAGTGGCTTATAAGCAACAGAAATTTATCTGTCACGATTCTGGAGGTTAGAAAGTGCAAGGTCATGGTGCCAGCAGATTCAGTGCCAGGATGACCCAGTTCCTGGTTTGTAGATGGCTGTCTTCATGCTGTGTCTTCAGATGGTGGAAAGAGGAAGAGGCTCTCTGCACCCTTTATTTTTTTTATTTTTTAAAGATTTTTATTTATTTGACAGAGATCACTAGGCAGAGAGACAGGCAGAGAGAGAGGGGGAAGCAGGCTCCCCACTAAGCAGAGAGCCCAATGCGGGGCTTGATCCCAGGACCCTGAGATCATGACCTGAGCCGAAGGCAGAAGCTTAACCCACTGAGCCACCCAGGTGCCCCTCGGCACCCTTTTTATAAGGGCATTAATCCCATTCAGGAAGGCTCCATTCTCATGATCAAACCACTTTCCAAAGCCCCCACCCCTTGAAACCATCACATTGAGGGTTAGGTTTCAACATACGAATTTTAGAGAGCCACAAACATTCAGTCTACAGAAATCATTTTAGGAACATGTATACCAGCAATGTGTAAGAGTTCCAGTTCCTCCACAACCTTGCCAACATCTGCTACAGGGACCCAGGTTTCTCCCAAGAAACAAAACCAATTGGATATCTCCCTGGGTAGCTAGAATCAGGTTTATTATAAGGAATTGGCTCATGATGTTGATGGAGGCTGAAAGTCCTACAGTCTGACGTCTGCAAGCCGGAGGACCTGGAGGGCTGGTGGTGTGACTTCCAGTCAGAGTTCAAAGGTCTGAGAACCCAGAGCATAGATGGTGTAATTCTCAGGCAAAGGGCAAAGACTGATGTCTCAGCCTGGGCAGTCAGGCACAGAGAGCCAACTCAACCTTCCTCTGATTTACTCAGTGCACCAATTCAAATGCTAACCTCTTCTAGAAACACCCTCACAACACACTCAGAAATAATGTTTTACCAACTATCTGGATATTCTTCGGCTTGGTCAAGTTGACATATAAAAGTAACCAGCCCAGTGAGTCTTTTTAGTTTTATCTATTTTAAAGGATGTGTAGAAGTACCTCATTGTGGCTCTAATTTGATTTCCCTAATGGCTAATGATGTTGGGCATCTTTTCATGTACCTGTTGGCCATCTGTATGTCTTCTTTAGAAAAAGGTCCATTCAGATCTTCTGCCCATTTTTTAATTGATTTTTTTTTTTTTTTTTTTTGCTATGGAGTTGTATGAGTTCTTTATATATTTTGGATATTACCACCTTATCAGATGAATAATTTGTAAATATTTTCTCCATTCAATCAGTTGCTTTTACATTTTGCTGATGGTTTCCTTTGCTGCACAGAAGCTTTTTAGTTTAATGTGGTCCCATTTGTTTTTGTTTTTGTTGCTTTTGATTTTGGTGCCAGATTAAAAATATAACACCACCAAGACTTATGTCAAGAAGCTCACTGCCTATGTTTTTTTCTGCACGTCTTGTGGTTTCAGGTTTAATATTCAAATCTTTAATATATTTTGAGTTAGTCTGTCTCTGGTGTAAGATAGAGGTCTGTTTCAGTTTTTGCATGTGAATATTCAGTTTTCCCAGCACCATTTATTGAAGAGACTGTCTTTCCCCATGTAGATTCTTGGCTCCTTTGTTATAAGTTATGTGACCATATTATGTGTAGGTTTATTTCTGATTTTATTTATTTGACCCCTCTCTCTTTTTTTTGACTGGTGAGAGTCTTTTCAGTTCTGTTTATCTTTTCAAAGAACCAGCTCTTAGTTGATCTTCTTCTCTATTTTCTTTTTCATCCCTATTTCACTTATTTCTGTTCTAGCCTTTATTATTTCCTTCCTTCCACTAACTTTAGGCATCACTTTTTCTTCTTTTTCTAGTTCTTTGGGGTAGAACGTTATTTATCTGCTTTTTGGAGATAGACATTTATGGTTATGAACTTCCCTCTTAGAACTGCTTTTGCTGCATCCCACAAATTTTGGTATATTTCCATTTTAATTTTTCTCAAGATACCTTAACATTTTTGTTTTCTTCTTTGACCCATCAATTATTTAGCAGCATGTTGTTTAATCTCCACATATTTGAGACTTTTCCAGTTTTCTTTGCATAATTTCTAGTTTCCTACCATTGTGGTCAGAAAAGATGCTTGATACGAATTCGATTCTCTTCAATTTATTAAGACTTGTTTTGTGTTCTAACATAGGACCTATCCTGGAAAATATTCCATGTGTACTTGGAAAGAATGTATGTTCTATTGTTTTGGGATGGGATGTTCTGTGTATCTGTCTGTTAACTCCAATGGGTCATTTAAGGCTGATGTCTCCTAATCGTTTTCCGTCTGGATGGTCTACGCGTTGATGTGAATGGGGAACTAGAGGCCCCTATTATTGCCGATGCGGGGCTCGATTCCAGGACCCTGGGATCATGACCTGAGCCGAAGGCAGAGGCTTTAACCCACTGAGCCACCCAGGCACCCTATGTGAGGACTTCTTTATCTTTTTGCATTGTATTAAAAGAAGAAGTGTCAAAAATTAGTAACGTCTTGATAAAAACTTACTAGTTGGGTCTGGTGATCTAAGGCCGAAAGACAAACATAAGACACTGGTCCAGGTTCAACAGGAGGTATGTCCTTGAGTAAGATACCAATATAGAATTTCTAAAGACATAGACACGAGACCAAGCAATGCTTGTAAATGGCCAGAGAGGATTGAACATTCCTACAGAGAAAGAAAAAGGAAGAGAGAGAATACAAAGTTGGGTTTTCAGCAGCTCTTGGCAACTTCATATTCTTTCTTCTTTCTTCTTTCTTCCTTCTCTGGGCAATTACTAGATGGTAGATGTGTGGTTTTACACCCGTAGCAATTACATATTTCAAGAAGACATCTTGCTAGAAGTATGAAAGTAATATGGTTCAATCTTATGAAATGAATAAATTAATTTGGGAAATTTCATTTCCATTTCCAATGTTTCTTTGGTCCCAAACAGATGCCTATGTCACCCCTATACTACCTCTATGTAGATAAATGTATTCCTCTACTCAATTTTGAGCAAGTATACAGGAAGAATGATGAGCACGATAGTTTCATGAATGACTCTGGAGGCCCAGGAGCTAGCGAAGGACACTTCTCAGGGGGAAAACCTTTACACAATCTTACTACCGTTAGGTCTCAGGGGCCATGTCCTCAGCTTCTCCCAGCACTTCCTGAAACAGCTAGGTTCAGATTTAAACTGCTTGGCTTATGGGCCCAAATATTTATTCACAACACCTCTGACACCCCCCTCACCCATACAAGGCCCCTGTCATTCTTCTAACATGGAGTGTAGGCCTCTACTAGAGAACGTTCCTGTATTACATGTAGTTTAATCATAATATAATTGTATTCATTATGTTATATAGCATACGCATACCCATAATATGTAATTTATATAATCAATATAATCACATAATACAATTATGTATAGTAGAATTATACGTAATATAATTATATAACTGTAATTCCATAATGTGAGTCGCTACCATTTATTGGGTGTATATTGTGTCAACACATTCTTCTTATTCCCTATCCCCCCACCTTTCACCTAATAATGCTAACTTGCTCTTCAAGTCTGTCTCAGCTGGGCTGTCAGTTCCTTCAGAAAGGCTTCCCCACGCTCTCCTTGCCTGGGTTAGGGTCCCCTGCTGCTCTCCCAGTTCCCAGTATTTTTCTTTCTTGCAACACTTAGCAGACATATGGGAATTGCCTATTTAATTGCAATTAAATTAAAAGCAAGAACATGAGCTCCATGAAAGGAGAGGGATGAGTCGTCCTGTTGCTCTGTCTATTGTCCATTTGCAGACGAGTGCTTGGTGTGCAGGATGCATTCAACAAATAGTTCCCGAATAAATAATTAATTAATGCTGACCATTTTGTATTATATAATAGGAAAAAAATTATCATCATAATACATAGACCAATGTTTCTCCAATCGGCTCGCTCACACTTCCTTTCTTTGTGGTTGCTATAAACTGAGCAGGGAAGCTTACTTGCAACGGGCTTTTTGTTGGAGGAACGTCTTCTTGTTCACCCAGGATTACAGTCTAGAAGGACATGGCTCAGCGCTACCTGTGGATCTTGCTCCTTTGCCTGCAAACCTGTGAGTTCTGACCCTTGTCGATGCTCTCCTAGTTTCCTGTTAAGATTTAGAAATTGCCCATAAGGAAGACATTGAAGTGCCCTCTTCATGTACTTTAACCAGTACACCCTAGGTCTCAAAAAGTGTTCAACGGTCTGGGAAGAGACAGGATCCAAACCTAACTGTTTTTCAGCTTTTGAGTTTGTTTCTGAATTTTGTCTGTGCCCAGTCTGCAAACCCTGTCCAGGATAGTCCTCACTTGGGAGGCCCACCCAGAAAGCCCAGCAAAAGAACATATCATCTAAAACTATGAATAACTTAAAATCATTTCTTTTTGGCTTTAGATTTGGGTGTATAGTTTTTGACAGGGATACGCCCTTCCAAATTATATTTCATTACTCTATCAGGTTAGAGTAATGCTTACCTATAATTATCATTGTAAGATCTTCATCTCTCTAAGCCCCCTTTATTTTCAAAGCACATTCAGAGTTATTACTCTGCTTCTATTCTTCAGAAACTCTCCAAAGTAAATGAGGAAGAGACTGTTATCTCCGTTTTATAAGTAAGTTAGCTCTCAAAAAAGAAATGAACTTGAAATTTTGTTTTTCTTAGAGCTGAACAGTAAACTATAAGGACACATGGATATTGGTTGTTGTTAGTACAAAGAAAACTGTATAACATCAACACAGATCTAGGAGGGGTTTGTCTTTGCAGTTTCTCATTAAATCCAAACAATTATATTCTCTATATAAAAATTGACTATGCTTGACATTTCTTTTTTTTTTAAGATTTTATTTATTTATTTATACTTGGGTTTTTTTAAGGTTTTATTTATTCATTTGACAGACACAGAGAGCGCACAAGCAGGGGGAGTAGCAGGCAGAGGGAAAGGGAGAAGCAGTCTCCCCACTGAGCACGGAGCCTAATGTGGGGCTCGATCCCAGAGCCCCAAGATCATGACCAGAGTCAAAAGCAGACACTTAACTGATTGAGCCACCCAGGCACCGCTGTGCTTGGCATTTCTAAATCTACTTATAGTCTCTCCTACCCATTCTGAAAAACTCACCAGCAAATTCCCGGAATGTGTTAGAACACAGAGAATCTAGTGGGTTGGGATTTCCTAAAAAGGTAGAATCAATACACCTTTGTCTCTCTGGTTCCCTTGACTATTTAATTAATAGTCACATGTAACTATTTAATTAATTAAATCTCATTAATTCATTAATTGGACTATTTAATTTGACTAATTAATAGTTACTATTTAATTGACTTGACTATTTATTTTTTTTAAAGATTTTATTTATTTATTTGACAGAGAGAGATCACAAGTAGATGGAGAGGCAGGCAGAGAGAGAGAGAGAGGGAAGCAGGCACCCTGCTGAGCAGAGAGCCCGATACGGGACTTGATCCCAGGACCCTGAGATCATGACCTGAGCTGAAGGCAGCGGCTTAATCCACTGAGCCACCCAGGTGCCCTTGACTTGACTATTTAATTAATAGTCACGTGTGACTAATTAAGTCACATGACTGTGACTCCTTTAATTTGAGGTTCATGGAGATTGCACCAACTAGGCATGACAACTTTTTGGATCTTGTGCTAACCACCCTGACGTGACAGACGAAAATGCAAATAGACGGGGAAGAGAGTTGGACAGAAGCTAAGTGAAAATCTAAGGCTGTCCCGAGTCGTCCAGAGAAGGGCTGGAGGGTGACACTTGATATCACTTAATTTGCAAAGCGTTCTGCCATTTTTGTGCCTATATTCTCATGTGAGCCACACTAAGGCCACTGAAGTAAGCAAAAATAGATAATATTAATCCTATTATACACAGAAAAAGTATAAACTAAGACTCAAGTTAAACAATTCACCTGAAGTTTCACAACCTGATATTTGTATGGCTGGAAAGGCATGTGGGTTCCTCTGATCCCAAGGGTAGAGCTCTTTCTGCTCCACCCTTCCTGCCCTCTTCTCATTAGGTTTTCAGTTTCTTGATGCTCTGCAGAGTGCTAGCACATGCAGATCTAATGCGATTCCTATTAAAATACCAACAGCATTTTTTCCACCAAACTAGAACAAACGATCCTAAAATCTGTATGGAACCACAAAAGACCCCAAATAAACAAAGCAGTCTTGAAAAAGAAAAAGAAAACTGGAGACATCCCAATCCCAGACTTCAAGTTATACTACAAAGCTATAGTGATCAAAACAGTATGGCACTGGCACAAAAATAGACACATAGATCAGTGGAACATAATAGAGCACCCAGAAACAAACCCAGGGTTATATGGCCAATTAATCTTCAACAAAAGAGGCAAGAATATGCAATGGGAAAAAGACTGTTTCTTCAACAAACGGTGTTGGGGAAACTGGACAGCTTTGTGCAAAACAATGAAACTGGACCATTTTCTTACACCATACACAAAAATAAACTCAAAATGGGTCAAAGACCTAAAAGCGAGACATGAAACCATAGAAACCCTGGAAGAGAGCAGAGGCAATAATTTGTCTATAACATTGGCCCTACCAACATTTTTTTAGATGTGTCTCCTGAGACATAGGCAACAAAAACCAAAATAAACTATTGGGACTACATCAGAATAAAAGGCTTCTGCACAGTGAAGGAAAGAGTCCATAAAACTAAATGACAACCGACTGAATGCGAGAAGATATTTGCAAGTGACATATCCAATAGAATTCCTCTGAAATCACTGAGATAAGAGAAGTCTGGGTACTCAAACTCATGACTCTTCCACATTGGAAAAGTTTTCTCAAAGAACCAAGACTCACAGTCATACACTCCAAATTCTGCTTTCTTATCCTGACTTGTGATTACGATTCTGACCGCCTCTGCAAGGGCCTAGCCACCCACCCTCTAGGGTGGAAGACGGAAGAATCCACCACTTTTGTTCCATGCCCATTCTATATGTTCTTTCTCACACTCTTTTAATTCTTCCTTTTCTCTATGCTTTTCTTGCTTCGGTTTCTTCAACCCTTCACCTGGTTCCTGTTTCCTCTCCCCCAGCAATAATGGTAATAACTAACCATTTAGGAAGTGATGATGACGTTTGGCGTTACTCTAAGTAGTCATATTTACTATTTACCTTACTCCTCACAGTATTGTATGAGATACTATCAAGACCCCAGTTTAACAGATGAAACACAGAAAACTAGAGGTCGATTAGCCAAAAAGTGGAGGAAATAAGATTTGAATGCCAATGCCTTTAGACTTAACCACTGAACAAAGCTGCCTTTGCCTTTGCTGTCTTTGATGCTGAAATGGAATAAAAATACTGCCCCTGCTATCATTCGTGATCACATTTTGAGATTTGTCACTGGATTTATTATTTATTTACTTATTTATTCCCATAAAGACAGGATTATTCAGATAGAGAATGGGACTCGTGGGCAGGTCTTTGCCAATAATAGAAGTTTAAGTGGCCCCCAAAGCAGAATATCCAAGAAAAGGAGCATATCCAGATATAGTTCAAGTACCCCATCATATCGATATGATGTGGGTTGACTTGAATTAGCTTCTTCAAAATAAGCAAAGATCCAATATCAACAAGGTCTTGGTGTCCTGTTGAATGTGTAGCACAGTAGAAGCATTCCGGAAGTTGATAATCAGAAGTCCAAGAGGTGAATAGGCCCACGTGGATATCTGTCCATGGATAGGTAAGTCCTGACCATCCTCCTGGGCATTAGACACAGGATTTCATGGCTGGAAGGGTCCTGGTGAGATCCAATTTGCCACTAGTCCAAAGTCTTTGTAAAGAGGAGCCTTTGAGATAAAGATAAAGCCTTTGTTCTAGAAAGAGGTTTGAGAAGACTATTACCACAGATATTCAGAAAGGTCTTAAAAGCAGAAGCCCAGTTATAGAAATGGAAAAATATATTATGTATGGGGGAAACTGGATATCAAGACATTAGCTCAAAAATCCAGTTTCCAAATAGAGGGTAGGAAGGAGCATCAGTGTGCTAACACAAGACTCGTAGGAGGCAGGAGAGACACACCTTGTCAGCTTGGTGCACTGAAGCTTCTCTGGAGGTCAGCAAGGTGACTGACCAAGTGGACAGCATGCCTTCAAAGGGGCTTCAAGTTTCAGTGGTGGACATAGGCTGTTCAAGTGTTTCCTGTATCAAATCTTTCTTGTCTTGAACCTTGGAGAGGAATGAACCTGCAAGTTTGGGGTTACTAAGCTCACCTGTGTGGAAGCTGGAAAAAAAGAGGTATGAGCAATCGGTTGGGAGACTGATGTTGGTGGTGCTATGTACCCATATTTTCTTTGTTATACTCAATTCTTGATTATACAACAATAAAAGGAAATAGTGATAGAACAGTGGATGGCCAGGATCCCATCTTGGTTTTGAGAAATTGTGTGTTTCTTTTTGTTTTGAAGAAACAGATTCAAGTCAACTCAGATCTCAAAAACGGTGATAAAAGTTGGGGCGCCTTGGTGGCTGAGTCGGTTAAATAGCCAACTGTTGATTTCGGCTCAGGGTCCTGGGATGGAGCCCCACACTGTGCTCTGCACTCAGTGGGGAATCTGCTTCAGGATTGTCTCTCTATCTCTGCCCCTCTCCTCCAAATAAATAAATAAATCTTTAGGGGGAAAAAAAAAAAGAAGGCAGAAAAATCTAGTAGATAATAGTGTACGGTTGTGTGGGGTGGTAGGTTCCTTTTATTAAAAACTCATGACAAAGGACTTTCCACCCTCATGGAGAACGACACAAAACTGGCTGCTCAAGTCTTTGCTTCCTCTTTGCTCTTAACTCCCTTTCACTCAGTATAACGTGCTGTAACCCATTCTACCCCAAGGAGTGCAGGATGCAATCATCTCCATCCACCCTTCCGTGCCTGCCCCCCACTTACTGATCTAGGAAGCAGTGGGTGGAAGGAGAGGAGGAATGGTTAGCTAGTGTCCCCAAAGCACAAGAAATGCTTACTTGAAGGATCCTAAGGAAGCTGGGGGAGGGGAGTGGTCAGGTGGCTGTAATTAGCAACACATTCTTCCTCATCTCT